TGTTGGAGAAAGGCTTTTGTCTTGGAGTACGCTGTTGTTGTTGCACCTTCCACAGACTTCAGGGAGTCTTGTGTCAGTGTGACAGCTTAGGAGAACTCTACGCTTGGCTGAGCCAGCTCCTGCCCGTGTAGCTGTGACTTTCACTGTTACTGCTTTTACAATTTTCTCACTGTTCTTGTTAGTGTTAGCATAGCTACTATTTCTATTACTATGTTACTATTGCTGGGTGCTAAGAAACATTTCAGTCTTAGCTTTGAGTTGGGACGCCAATTTGGGCTTGGGGCTCGACAGCTTCTTCGAGGTGTTGTGTGATTTTCGGTCCAGAAGCTTCCTGTGGCTAGCACGTCGTTCGTTTCGTGACATGTTTGAGGCCGGCGAACAGCCCGAGAAACAACCCAGAACCGACCCCAACGATGGTCGAAGTGTCTTTGCTCATCCCTTCTGCCAATGTGTGCGGTGTGCTTGGATCCGGTGCCACAAGTCTCGGCTATAATCCTAGCAGCCAGGAAGCTTGTTGGAGGTGCAAGGGCACATTTCTTGCAGTACGCCTTTGTTGTTGCAACCTTCCACAGACTTCAAAGAGTCTTGTGTCAGTGTGGTGGCTTAGCTTAGCCTGCACGCTGAACTTCATAGCACTTGAATCAGAAGCACTGAACCATGAAGATCAATTCCATTATTCTCGCACATCATGCTCTGGACTGGTGTTCACCTTGGCCCTTTGTGTAGGCAAAGGTCTGAGGAAGCGCCTCAGAGGCCCCGCACCCACGAGCCCCTAGCACGTGGCGGCCCAAAATAGCAAGGGTTTAGGGTTCAGGGCTTGCGGATGTTCAGGGTTCAGGGTTCAAGGTATCGTGGCGGATTGCTTGTCAGAGAAAAGGGCTTCAACAGGCCCTATGCCAAAGCAACGAGAAGGCCACTGCTTTGGCCTTGATGAGTAGTTCTATGGAATCAATCGCACTGTACGGAGACGCTTTCGCAGTTAGTGCTTCGGCAATGCGTAGTTTTTGACATCCTCGATGCACGTCAGGCTCCGCAGGCTCGAACCACGGACTGGCTGTGGTGGTGCTGCGCAGTCCCTCAGCATCAGCTCGGGGTTGCAACGTCTCCCCAGGGAAGCCGCGTGAAACCCTACGCCCTAAATCCATAGCCTGGAATTTCTACGCCCCATAAGACTTGAACCCTGCACCCTAAAATCCTAAGCCCGAAGCCCAAAACTCTAAACTCCATCGTTGATAGATGGATGGTGCCTAGACCCGCTGCTAGTTGGCTCTGCGTCACTGTGCAGAGGCCGGCCACTTGGCGACCTACTCTTGCTAAACCCAAGGCCGTGATTTGAATGCTTCCAAGCACTTCCATGTCGGTTTGTTTGTTTGGGGGCAAATCTCGGCTCCTGGTGGTGGTCCGCAACATTGCACAACGGCTCTGCAGCCACGGTTCTGGTTTTCTTCACTGGCTGCGCATCGCAGTGGAGGGTGCAGCCAAGTGTCAAAGGCTTTCCACGAGCCGTTCTTCATACAGTTACCTGTTCATGGCCCATGGGCTTGCCCTGTATTGGTGCTGGTTGCTTTTCCTGATAGGCCTGCTGCAGTCAGTGAGTTTTTTTTTAAATGCCGCCTTCGTGGAATATGCAGAATGTTCTGTTCGTGGGGCCCCGTGTTTTTTTTTGCTTCGCCCTGGCTGCAAGGGTTTCCACAGCCACGGTTAATGCCTCTCAGTTTGCACAAGAGACAGACCGCCAGACGGCGGTCGGACGGTCAGACGGTCGGACGGTCGGACGGTCAGACGGTCGGACGGTCAGACGGTCGAGTGGTCAGCTGCTTAGACGGGTCAGATGGTCGCGCGGTCAAAGCATCTGAGGCTTTTCTTGAAACCCATCATGCGGGCACTGGGGCGGGGCTGCGACCCCCCAACCCCCCCGTTGTTTTAATCCGTGCAAGCTTGTTTCCAAGCACATGAATGGCTTTGAAACCTTCCGCTTTTAAAGCTGTGCAAGCAATCGTTTTGAAACCCAACACGCGAGCATTGAGTTTCCCCCTGTTTTCCCCGTTTTTCCGCCCTGTTTTTAAAGCCGGGCAAGCTTGTTTCAAAGCATACGAACGATTGAAACTCATGATGCGAGCATTGTGTTTGCAAATGGGGCGGGGGCTGCGCCCCCCCCAACCCCCCCGCTTCTCCCCCGAACCCCCCGTCTTTATAAGCCATGCAAGCTTGCTTCAAAGCATATGAGTCTTGTTGAACCCAACATGCGAGCATTGAGTTTGCACATGGGGGCACTGCGCCCCTCTTGCAACTCCCCCCCCCCAACTTTTTTAGGCCGTGCAAGCTTGCGAGCAAAATTTAGAACAATTGCTACGAAAATAGTGTGAGTCCTGGGAATGGAGGTTTGCATAGGAAACCACGAAAACTGCACCAATTCCTATGAAAATATAGAGGGAACGGAGATTTTCCGAGGAAAGCCAAGAAAACCGACAAAAAAAGGCTCACAACAGCACAAAAAATGAATTCCGAAAATTCTTCCACCCTTAAATAACCTTTTTTGAGTCGTGCAAAGCCTGCTTCACAAAGCATAAGCAGCGGTTGGCTTAGTGGTTCTCGGTTTCATTCCGTAGATTTTTTCACAAAGCATATGAATCATTTGAAACCCATCATGAGAGCAGCACATGGGGGCGGGGGCTGCGACCCCCCAACCCCCCCCCCCCCCGCTTGTTGCAGCCATGGCCTCCCTCAACCCCCCTGCCGCTTGAAGCCGTGCAAGCTTTCTCCACAAGGCATATGAGTCTTTTTGAAACCCATCATGTGAGTATTGTATTTGCAAATGGGGGGCGACCCCCACTCCCTCGGCTTATGAAAGTACAGCGCAACCAGAAGTTTTCCATGGGGGGGGGGGGGGCGGGCTGTACCCCCCCCCCAATGCCGCCCGCCCCGCTTTTTGTTTAAGCCGTGCAAAGAGCCGCGCAAGCTTGCTTCACCATATGACCCTTTTTGCAACCCATCATCACGCGAGCATGCTTTTTGCAAATTGACCCCCCCCAACCCCCCCACTTGTATTAGCTGTGCAAACTTGCCTCACAATTGCACACGGGTCTTTTAGAAGCCCATCATGCGACCATTGCGTTTGAAAATGGGGGGGCTGTGGCCCCCCAGCTCGCATAAAGCATGGACGTTCGTCACAGAGGGCCTGAGTCACAAACTCCCACAGCCACGGCTAAGCAAAAAAAAGCGCTCCTGCCAAGGCCGGCGGTGTTTGTTTTTTTGCTTAGCCCTGGCTGCAAAGGAGCCCCACAGCCACGGCTAAGCAAAAAACACGCTCCAGCCAAGGCCGGCGGTGTTTATTTTTTGCTTAGCCCTGGCCGAGACAGACAGCCACGGCTAAGCAAAGAATACTACGAAAAGTTGCACAGCCACGGCTAAGCAAAAAAGAAAACGCTTCCGCCCTGTTCGTGGCTTCAGTGCCTACAGCTTCTTGGGCCAATGCCGGCTATGAAGTCATATTGTGCAGATAGCACAGCCATCCTGGAGTGGACCGCTTACGTGGGCCTTTAGAATGCACTCCAAACAGTTCCTTCCAAAAGTTTCTGTTTAAGATCTTTTGAAAAACCCTGAGCCCGCAAGCCCTACTGGTACCGCACCAGGTTTAAACCCCAGCCCAAAACCCTCAAACCTCTAAGCCCCAAGCCCGAAGAACCGTGAACTTCTACCCTCAGGCCCTAAACCGTAAACGCTAAAGGGCTCATCAATGAAGAGGGCGGCGGGACGGGGGGGGTCAACAAAAAGGAAGGATCAGGGGGTCAAAAGTCAAAAACAAAACAGGGGGGGGGGGGGAGGGTGAAAAGAAGCTATGCCACCCCTACACCCTAAAGCTTGAGCTCCTAAACCCCCAACCCAGGCTATTGAGCCGACTCCGAAGGGCCCCGCCCGGCTGGAGCTGCAAAAGCAGGCGTTTTTTTTTTTGGTTTTTCTTTTCCTTCCTTGTTTTTTTTTTTCCAGGATTTCTTTGTTTAGTTTAGAGTGTTTTTGGGGGTTCAGGGTTAACTTAGCTTGGGGTTTAGGGTTAAGTTTGGGGTTCATAGGGTGCGAGGTTTGGTTGCAGGGGGGAGTTCTCGAATTCGGGTCCTAAGGCAAGACGTTACCTAGAGAGTTTCGGGGCTTCGGGGTGTAACAAGATCCAGAAGCCATTCCGCGCATGGGGCATTGAGCTACAGTAGAGCAGCAAATCCCCAGTTTGGGATTCCGGTTGGGAATTTTCGGTTAATGTCCGGGGCAAGGGCATCTTGATGTTTCATGCAAGTTGCTACTCAAGTGTCACTTAAGTGTTGAAGTCCTGATCCCCCCCCCGCCGGGGCAACCCATGAAACACAGAGTCAGAAAGCCCTCTTGCCAGTCCTTGGAGTGCTCAAAGTAAGGAAGTTCGAAAGGAAGGCGCCTCATCCACAAGCAATTTTTTTGGGTTTCTGGGGGGGGGGAATGTCAAGAAATCTCAACCTTGGCCATGAACAGAAAAACCACAAGAACTCCCATCCGGTCCATCCTCCGAGTCTCTTGTAGCTGCTCTTAAGCTCCCGAAGTCGCGAAGCTGAGCCATAGCCCTAAACCCTAAACCCTAAACCCTAAACCCTAAACCCTAAACCCTAAACCCTAAACCCTAAACCCTAAACCCTAAACCCTAGACCCTAGACCCTAAACCCTAAAGCCGTTTGTGTGGAAGCCAAAACATGCAAGCAGTGCTTGGTCAACAAATGCCACACTCTCCACCCTTGCAGCCTCGAAGTCACCACCTACTACGGAGGAGTCGGGAAAAGCTGATGCAAATCCAGCAGAAGAGGCTGGCTGTTGGAGACCGAAAAGTCGATTTCAGATTTTGGTTCGTGAGGTGTAGCCCCGAGTCAATTCTGGGCTAGTGTATCGTCGACATCCACCGTGAAGTCCAGGCTAGTATAGACAGCCTCGTGCCTCGTGATCTGCTTCAGGATTTCCCAGACGGTAAAGATGCCGTGGTGGGCATGTTCTCGGCGCGCTTCGATGGGGGTGAGATGGAGCAGAAGTTCCGGAGTGTTCACGCGATTCTGAAGGCACCAACTTATCATGTTCTCGTTGTTGCCTGCGCACGAGACATATCCATGGGAAGCGATTTCGACGTAAGTAACGAGCAGCCCCGCAGGAGCACAACTTTCCGGTCCGGATGGTCGCCGCAAAAGGAGGTGATGACTTCGGTAAACTAACACAAGAGTATTTGAGCGAGATTCGTCTGAGTCGTGGTGTGTTGATTTGTGTTTGCACGAAGCATTATGCTGAGAAGACCAGCTCGCCTTTCAGCTCTTTCGAAGAGTTGAAGTTTGCACGAGACTTCCGTTTAGATGTTCTGCCACTCAAAGTGGCAGACGACTACCCCCCGCGACCGCCAAGCGGTCCAGATCATCCCTACGACCAGCAGGGTGAAGCACATGCCATGATCGATTGGGTCTTCCGACCCAACGTCGCTTTCACAGACCCTTCGACCCCGTCAGAAGGAGTTAGTTAGTTCATTCTTCTTGAAAGTAGACTCTTTTGAATGACATGAACTGGTTTCTGTCAAGAACGTTGTCACCGAAGCTTGGGCAGCCGAGGACTGCCGTAGCTTCGATGAGATGCAGATTGCCCGTGTGATCGCGGAGAGATTGCTGAAGAAGACGATCCTCGCCTTGAGAAAGAAACGCTCAGTGGCATGTAGCTCCCTTGAGCGCGATCTTGCGCAAGTTCAGCTAAGGAAGGGCTCCGGTCATGGATGAGCCTTCAGTTCAACCCTCCGCACGCAGGCAGATCTGGTTGCAGGGGGCGAAGTTCTCGTGGGAAGATGGCGGCTTGACGACTCTGCCTTCCCTGTGCCGCTGAGGGTTTTGTAGGTCAGGTTTTGAGAGGAGCTGGTGAAAGACGACATGGCTGACAGTCGTGGTACTCTGTAACATCTTCAGCAGAAGATGAGACTCCTACGATTTCAGATGTGCTCCTCCAAGGTTCTCCGAAGCGAGTTCGATTCCCTTTTAACTTTTAACTCACCGTCGACTTCCTGAGCCCCTATGGGACAGAGGTAATGGTAAACAAAGGAACTCAGCGAATCACCATCCTAGACCCAAATGCCATCACCCTACTGTGCTTCCTTTTTTGAAAGTCGGGGTCCCTCCGGTCTCGACGGGAGGTTTCGAGTGCCATTCTCACACAGCCCGCGATGGTAAAGCCATATGCAGGGTGGCGAGGTCTCAAGTCCGTGGCGATTCAGGCAAAGTAATTAGGCTAGGGTTAAGGTATATTCCATTGCAGGGTTCTTGGTCTGTCATGTCAAAGGTCGTAGGAGCGTTTGATACCAAGCTCCATCATCGACAGATTCGATGGACCTGGCTTAGAGCCAGCTTGCCAAGAACGGGCAGGCCATGGCTTTGGTAGGAGATGCTTCTGTATCACGCCGATGCCATGTGCTTAAAGAATGGCCCCGCTGAATTGGCTGTGATGATATCGGCCTCAGAGTTTTCATCCTCGTCCTGTTGCAATTTTCAACTGAGTTCGTGAGCACGTGCTCCGCGGTCGTATATAGGCCCTAACAATTTTGCCTGCAGAAGGTGAAAGAGTCGATGCGTGCTTGTCTTGGAGTTCGATGTTGATGCTCAGGAAGCTAGGTGCACAGGGTTGGGATTCAAGGTCTTGGGAAAGAGGAAATCTGCCTACCTTACAAGCGGAACCTGAAACCATAACCCCCCGCTCTCCAAAGTCCGAAATCAGCCCTAAATCCTCAGCCTATGAAGCCATGTAAGCCCAAGACCCAATCATTCGGGTTCTCACGACATCGGTTCTAACCCCCCTATCTAGGACTGTTGCCGCTTCGAACCTAAGCCTGAAAGCTTGTGGGACCCAACAGGTGGCCATAGTGTGGAGGGCTGACCGGGGTCTCTGGTCTTTTCGAGTGAAGCAGATGTACAGGGCCTAGGACTTCGGAGACGTTTGATTGGTTTAGGGTTCTGATTGCCCCACCTGCCTTATTAGCCTTGAACTCTAAACCGCAATCCCGAGGCCCCAGTTAAACCCTCAAACCGTAAACCCCGACCTCTAAGTCCTAAGCTCCAACCCCAAACCTAAACCCGACACCCTAAACCGCAAATCCGAAACCCGAAACCCTAAGCCCTAACTCCTAAACCCTAAACCCTAAACCCTAAACCCTAAACCCTAAACCCTAAACCCTAAACCCTAAACCCCCAAGCCCACCCAAGATCCCCTATGCCAAAAAGACGACAGAGGTGGATGTTGGCGGAGCCTTTTGGGCTCAGCAGTCTTCTTTCTTTCGAGCTTATTCAGGTTAGGGTTTAGGGTTTAGGGTTTAGGGTTTAGGGTTTAGGGTTTAGGGTTTAGGGTTTAGGATTCAGGAATCTTGAGGGGCTCCGCGATTTTCACCGGTTTTCTCGGGCTTTCTAGCCTTCCTTGCCTCTTTCCTACACGCGCCCGGATGGGGAAGTCGCTGTCCACCGCCCTGCTGGGCTGTCTTCAAGCGGTGTGCCCGCAAGCGGCCCATGGGAAGCAATGTGGAGTTTCGTTCTTTTCTGTTGTCGGGTTGAGGGTTTAAGGTTTAGGGTTTAGGGTTTACTTAGGGATTAGGTTAGGGGTCAGGGCTGAGGGTTGTTGTTTAGAGAACCCTGAACCCAACCTAAAACTTCATTTGCAGATCCTTTCAAATCCCTGGAAGACCCTATAGAATCGGTCCCTTCAAAACCCTTTAACTACACAACCGCTGCAAGCCCTTAGAACTGCCAAAAACCCAACCCTGATGAGACCCTTGTCGCTCACTTGTGTTCGTAGGAGGGAATGAGGGAGTTCTTAAAGGTGGCGGCCGCTCTGCCCAGCTGGAGCTCAAAGACCCTGTGCAAGCCTGAGCCAGTTTGGGTTTGAGTTTTATAGGGTTCAGGGCAGATAGGGTTTAGGGTTTAGGGGATTTAGGGTTTCGGTGTAGGGTCGCGGCGTTGCGAAGGTTTGTGGTTTTGGGGGCCTTCTGAGGTTCAGTCGGGGGCCCTGGCATTCTGAGGCTTGCTTTAGTGCTGGAGGGTTCGTGGATTTCTTCTGGGAAGTTTGGCGTTTGGGCTTTTGGGAGCTTGAGGGTTCGGAATTCTTTAGCTCAGCGCCGTGTGGGTAGCCGGATACTCCTGGCCCGCCTATCCGAAAGAAGCGATCCTTGTCTAACCTTTGCCAGTTGACAAGTCATCAGACACAGGAAGTCTTGTGGGCGTTGTTCGGGTTGACTTGGGTGCTCTTGTAAACATGTACCTGATTCCCTTGTGTTTGGGCCGGGCCCAGCTTCAGCGCGGCCCCTCGCACCCTCTGCCAGGCTTTGGGAGTTCAGCTTGCAACCCGCAACCCTGCAAGCTCCAGCCCTGGAAAACCCTAAACCCTAAACCCTAAACCCTAAACCCTAAACCCTAAACCCTAAACCCTAAACCCTAAACCCTAACCCCTAACCCCTAACCTCGAACCCCTACCCCCTAAACCCTAAACCCCAAAAAAACCCCTTAACCCTAATTCCCCCCTCCCCCCCCCCACCCTAAGCCCTTTGAGCCCGAGGCTCCAGCAGGTGCTCCTCCCGGCTTTCGGTCCGGCTTTCATGGTTCTCGGCTTCAGTTGAAGGATGTTTTTAGGGTTTAGGGTTTAGGGTTAGAGTTTAGGGTTTAGGGTTAGAGTTTAGGGTTCAGGGTTTGGGGTTTGGGGGTTAGGGTTTCGGGTTTGGGGTTTAGGATGTCTGTTGAGTGGGTGGTTCGGCTTGAAGCTTGGTGCAGCGTTCAAAGGCTTTCGGTGGTTTTCGGGGCTCCCTTGCGTTAAGAGCTCCTTGCGTCTCGCCCCAGGCATGGGGATCGCACCCCCGTTTAGGGTTTGGGGAGTCTTCTCCCTAGTATTACATCAGGATATTGTCCGCTTTCCCCGCATGCCCCAGCGGAAAGCCCCAAATGGTGACTCTTATCATTAATCAGTCTTTGTCGAAAAAGGAGACAGGGAAGGGCTTGGACTCCTGAAGCCTGCCCACCCCCCGCCCCCCCCCCAACCCAAGAATCCAAGCTGCGCGCGAGGTGCATTCAGCCTTTCGACAGAGCGGCGAGGCGGATCTAAGCGCTGTGGTGCCGGCGGGTTTGTGGCTTCTAGGGCTCAGGGCCAGGGGTTCTCAGGGCTTCGGCGGTTTAGGGTTTCGGGGATTAGTAGATTAGGGGCCCGATGCGGAGACAACAATTCTATCCCAAAACCCCCCAGCCCCAAAATGCCCTGACTGGGTTCAGGGGCTTGGTGCCTCACCTTGAACCCTGGAGCCGCACCCCCAAAAAGCCGTTAACAAAAGCTCACGCCTCAAGTCCAGGACCAAGTGAGAACGACTGAGAAAGCGCTTCGAATGCTGGATGCTCCGCTCCAGGCCTTCTCTCTTGGCCTCAATATGCGTTTCGACTGGCCTTCGATATGTGCAAATTCGAACAGACTGAATCACATTTTCTGCAAACAATGTGTTGAGCAACATTGCAGAAATGATGTAGGAAGCTCAGCAACGCGCGAGGAGCGCCCAGTCTGGGGCGCAGGGGCGTCGCGGGGCCTGTTCCTGGTCTTCGAAGGCGACGGGGGTGGGTGGGGGCTGTGTTTGCGGTTCGCAAACAGGTTTGGTTTAGTGTGTTGGCGATGTGTCGGTGACCTGTAGCGTCAGGCCTCGACCGAAGTGGCAAGTCCACCCAGAGCCGGAAGATCGCGTCCCACCTTGAGAAGGCCGATTGATATGGTTCTTACCATATACAGGTTGTTGGTTGTTTATAGCAGATATCCAATAGAAGAAAAACCAAAGCAAACAAATGCTACATCAACAATGCAACATTTAAATTAACAATAGAAAGAACAATGGCGAATGAATGTCAATAAATGGATTGATCTCCTTTTATCAAAGATGGGTACGACAAAATACACTCATACATAAATGGCAACAAAACAGTGAAATTTACCTTTGATTTCGAAGAAAGGCAATTCAATCCGAATCAAGCAAATACACAACATCAACCAAAGCAAGAGAGTCGCCAACCCAACAATTTGATTGATGAAAAGTGAGGGCAAGTCTCGATAGCCTTGCGCAACGGACAGTTTTCCCAGGCTGGCCCGGTGAAGTGGATGTGCTTCCCGAACCGTAAGACGCCCATCGGCAACGCCATCGACCTCTACCTTCGCAGGCCGACAAGAAGCTGGGAAGGGTTGGGGTGCGCGACAGGGAGCCCTTACCTGCAAGGCAGCTGGAGCTCCCGGACGAGGCCGTGCACCGCCTCTTCAGCGTGGTGCCGGCGGCGGTTCAGCTATGCCATGCTCTGCCGGGTGATGTTCGCGACGTGCTCGTAGCACTGTTCTGGACGCCAGGCCAACCGCTGGGAAATGGCCCAGGGCATCGTCGAGGCAGCCACCAGCTCGGACCTCCCGTGTGAACAGAGTTTCTCAGAGTTCCCATCGCAGGACCTTCGTGCCGGCACCACGATCGTGTGCGACCGCTACGCCTTCTCGGGCGTGGCGTACTCCGCGGCCAAAGGCGGAACCGCCCTGACCACGGTTTCAATGAGCTGCGAAGAGCATCTGCCCGCTTCGTGCGCAGGACTGGACTTCGCGTGGTGCCAGGCTCCTGATCGCGGGCTGCCGTGCCCGGATGGCATCTTCTTCCTGCATATCGATGAGAAGGTGCGTTGGAAGCGAACTTGTCAACCTTTTCGGCGTGTCGGCTTTCTGCTGTTTTGGGCCGTGCAGCGTGCCGCAGGTGGGTGCGGCGCGGTCGAACTTCGGTGACGAGCGCTACGAGAACGCAGCGATGCAGGCGGGCTGAGCCGAGTGTGTCGGCGAAAACGGCCAGTCAGGATCTGCGCAGCCTAGGACCCAGGACTTGGACCCGAGTTGCCTTGACTTCTGAGGCCAGCGTCCGTGCGCAATTCAAGGACCAGCGATTGCGCGGCAGCGTCAACTGGCGAGATGTCGACGGAGCACGGGATGCGGAGGCGACATTTGTTCCCTAAACCCTAAACCCTAAACCCTAAAACCCTAGCCCCTAAACCCTAAACCGTAAACCCTAAACCCTAACCCCTAAACCCTAAACCTTAAACCCCAAGCCCTAGACCCTAAAGCCTAAACCCTAAACCCTAAACCCTAAACCCTAAGAGATCTTTTCAGGTGATCCACGCCGAGATCCGAGATGCCGTGGACGGCATGCTGGAGGCTTCGGAGCCCCCGGGGGGTGTGGTGGGCAGTTGAGGGTTTAGGGTGTAAGTGTTAAGGGTTTAGGGTTTCAGGGTTTCAGGGTTTAAGGGTTTAGGGTTTAGGGTTTAAGGGTTTCAGGGTTTAGGGTTTAGGGTTTAGGGTTGCCCCACCTCGCAGAGAGCGCCTTGAGGAGCGGCGCCTGCATGCCGTGGAGCAGCTGTGGATGTAGGAACAGATCGCCTGGCGACGACCTGAGGAATGGAGGGTTCAGGAAAGCACCGGAGTCCACAGCCAAAGCAGTGCAGTGCCATTTTGTTAGGCCCTGCGGCGCAGACGTAGACGTGGCCGTGGCAAGTTGAGCTGCACCTTCGCTCGAATCCCAGAGGTCTGGCTCTTCCAACCGGCTGTTTCTGGCTATACTTGTCACCTTCTCATGCCGTGCAGAACAGAACATGTTGAGATTTTGCCCGGTCCTGCGGACCTTACCAAAAATGCGGATGCAAGCCCGCCAGTTTTGCTCCCCAAGCTTGAGACACACGCCCATTCGTAGAGCTCTTGCAATGGCACTTCCTCCATGGGTAGATCCATGGGCCGGCGCGGATATATGGGACTTAGCGGCAAGTCCGTGGGCTGGTGTAGCTCCGGCGCAACGCGGTCCCGCAGGTCGAGTGCAGCGAGATGAGCGCGGCGATGTGCCAGAGAAGTGCATCCGGGTGCATCGCTTGAACGGGGAGGTGCTTGAAGTCTCCCTCACGATCCAGGAGGCCAACAACCTCACGTCGAACAGAGACTTGAAGCAATGCCTCGCCAGACATGACTGCAGCAGCTGGCCCAGTCTTGGGGCAAAGTTCTTGTGCTTCCTTGTGCTTCCTAAAGTAGCTGATCTGGAACCTCTGGAGTCGACATTCTGTCACTCTTCCCTTTGCGGCAGTTCGCTGTGGGAGAGAGACGAGCCCTTTTTTCAGTTCGGTGGGGGGAGGGGGGAGGGGCGGGGGGAGGAGGGTTTTTGTCATTGTACTTTTTTCTCGCAATGACAGCAAAGGCATGCCAGGAGCACCCTACTTCCTGTGCCAGATTCGCCTGATACACGTGGACACCGGCCGGGAGATCCAGGATGGCAGCGTGAATTGGGAGTGGCTGGAGAAAGGCCCGGGCTGCGCAAGCTGATTTATTGTTTGTGTTTCCTGGGTTTAGGGTTTACGGTTTAGGGTTTAGGGTTTAGGGTTCTCCTGTTTGCCCGAAGCTGTGCAGGGACCCGCTTGCTGCTCTTGCGTTTTGGTTTGTTTTGTAAACTGGCTTGACCTTGTCTAGTGCGCCGGGAGCCCGAGCATGTGTTGGCCTGGGATGTGCGGACTTGAGTTTCATGCTTTATAGAGATGAGGGAGCACTCACAACAGATTTCTGAGTAGCAGTAGCAGAAGTAGTAGCAGCCAAGTCCTTTGGACAAGAGATTGTGACAGGCTCGCTGCAGTACGTGGTTATTGAAGCGGACGTGATGTCGGTTGCATTCGATGAAGAATTGATCTTCTCTTGCAAAGATCTCGATCTGTTGCTGGACCCACGGCTCCTGATCAGCTATGCCTTCAGGATTTGCAAGCAGCGGGGCCAAGCCTTCTGCGAGCATGTGTTTGGTGCCTGGGTCTTGGCAATGCGGAGCCTTCCACACACCGAAGTGAATCATGTCGGCTCGCATTTCTCTGGCAAGACATTCCTCACCCGCTGTTTGGCCCTCCTTCATGCAGTCGACAGAGATGCAGAGGATATCATGCGTGACGAGTATCGCGGTGCCGCCGTTCGTTTTCATCTAGATGTTTCGGACTTCCATGACAAGCGCTGGCCAGGGGAACCCTTCGAAGATTTCCTCCACGAGATTTTTGCAGGCTTGATCATCGAGCTCGTCAGGGAGAAGATGGATGTTGGAACTGTGGAAAAAACATTTCTCTTCCACAAGTGTGAGACAGATAAAATCAATCTTTGGAAGCTCGTGAGGGGGGAAAAGTACCCCTACAGGAACCGCCCGTCGGGTTGCTCCGGGGGTCTGCGTTTCGGGCTGGGAGCAGACCTCATGATCGCCCTGATCGACAAAGGTCTCCCCAGATGGTGCTGGGCGGGTTGCTTGGGCCCTTTCAATGACAATCTTCTCCAGCACATCATAGAGCCAGCAACGATAGGAGCAGCCATGGACGGCAAAGACGCAGCGAAAGGGAGGCTTTGCATATATCTGGCTCAAAAACTTCGGGTTGAAGAGCTGTGCCACCGGAACCAGGATGGCAGAAGTGCGTTGTCCTACGCTGAGGAGTTTGCAGAGCACTTTGAATCGAGGCCTTTTCAGTGGAGGCCGCCCTGGATGCTGCAACGGCCGGATCAAGCTGTTTGGATTCAAGTGCGCGACGTGATTAGGCAGGAGATGGAGGCCCGCGTCAGGGCGTTTCAGGGGGACCTGCCTGCCTTGGTCGAGCTCACGCGGTCCGTGCGGGCAGGCCTGGATGGCGACCTGGCTGTTTGCACAGAAGCTTTTGCCGATTGCGTGTCAAGTTTTTAGCCCACGAGGGTGTTTGCCTCGACCCTAAACTTGGGTGTCACGGTACAGAAGTCTGGTATCGCGTTCACACTTCGGGGTGTCAACCGTGCTTTCTGCCCATGGGGTTTGGGCTTTGGTGTCGTGTGCCGTCAGGTGATGCCGATTCTCTCGAGTCGCTTCCATCCTTCGAAGATGAGCTTTGGCAGCGAGCTGCCCTGGTCCGTGACGAGTGGCTGAGGCAGGTGCTGTTGAAAGCTGCCTTGGGTTAAAAGATCCGGCAAAGCAAGTTGTGAAGCATCCCTACACAGTGCAACATCCTGAAGCTCAAGTCGCCCGAGCCCCAAATCCCGACTTGGTTCCCAAATCCCGACTCGGGCCGGTGCTCTTTGCAGCCGCGATTCCCGGAGAGGATGGGCTGGACGTTCCGCGAGGACAGCGCCGACCAGCAGATTTCGGAGGTTCTGAGCTGGCATTACCAGGCAGTGGGACAGGGCTTGCGACATCTTTAGCGCTTCGGCGCTTGGGGATCTCTCTCTTTCTTTCTCTCGGTAGAATTTGCCGGATGGCTTGAATTCGGGCCCTCCAGCCGCGAATGTGGCGTGTGAAGGGCTCAGAGTATGGTTCTCTCACGTTCTCTCAACCTCTCGCACCACCACCACCGGACTCATCCCGGCTCCATTGCACCTAATGGTCCTATGCTGAGCAATCCCAAACTGATGCCCTTGTTCTTGTCGCGCGGAGTCAGGGCAGCCGGCAATCTAGGGTCTGTTCGGGATTAGGGATGTCGGGTTGAGGCGTTTCTCTCTTTCTCTGTTTCTCCCGCTCCCTCGGTAGAAGAATTTGCCACCGGATGGCATGAATTCGGGCTCTCCAGCCACGAATGTGGCATGGAGGGCTCATGATCCCGATTCTGCAGCGGAAGTCATACCGCCGCCCCAGCTTTCAGCGCGGTTCCATTGCACACAGTCGTCCTGGAGTACTTCACGAAGCATGTCCCAAACTAATCGATGCCCGTGCTCTTGTCGCGTCAAGTCTGTTCAGAAGCTGTGCTGCAAGTGGGAACGATCTGCGCTCGTAGTCAATATGAGTCTCGTGGTGGCGCATCGGCATAAAGCTTGACTATGCACAGGACGAGAAGTCTCAAGTAATCGCATGTGCTTCTTAATCTGCCACGAGAACCGGAATGGTCCCACGCGGCCTCGAATGACTGGCACGTAGTACGAGGGCATGCGGAGCAAAAGCCCCGAAGCCGCTGCTGTTGGAACTAAACTTCCCCGAGCTTTCTTCGTGCTGTTTACCCTGACTGCAACGGCTTGCAGGCGCTTCTTATGCCATGAACAGTGCGCTATGCTTGTTGACCATGTTTGGGAATTTCATCTACACCCCAAAGCTACAACCCCTAAACCCTATTCCGATTCCCGCCCTCTCCTGTCTGCATACTGAGAATTTTACAGGATTTCAGTATCCAAACACTCTGAGTTCGGAAGGTATGCAGGTCATTTCTCTATCAACTGACTTCAAAGTCCGATTACCGCAAAGGTGAACTCACCACTTCGAAGTCTGCACGTACCTGGCCACCCGGCCAGCTCGATATCGTCTTCATTCGTCTTCGAGAATATTCAGATTCGGAATCCATCAAATGAGACCGGATTCGTTAGATGTCTGACCACCTCGCTGACATTCGAAATCGGCGGATCTCGGGCCATGTGACTTTCTGGGGTAAGATGTCGGAGTAAGTTGAGGGGGATTGGGGAGAAACTGTTGTGCTTTCGCAATGTTGCTGGGCCAGAAGGGCGGGTGGGTACGTACCTGTCGCCTGATGAGTGCTGTGGGCTGTTTACGAGCTTAAGGGTTGGGAGGGTTGAGGCTGCGCGGTCCTCGCCTCGCGGCCCCTGGCAGAATCTGGCGAGATGAAACTTCGTCAGGTATACACGGTATTTCTAGACAAAGACCCTTAGTGGGCGTGCTAGAGCCATCCCAGGGTTTTCGCTTTTGTCCAGCTGGCTGCTTCACTCCTTCGGGTGCTGTGCTGCAGAGTTTAGAAGTCGGCAGTGCCCCAAGTTAGTATATGAGCGCCCTTCTTTGGCATCCTGCTGCGAGTTGCTCAAGCGACGTCTCTCTGTTTGGCTCTTGCAACGGCACTGATGGCACTTCCACCTGCAGCCCCAGTGCGGCAAGATGAGCACAGCGATGCTCCAGCGAAGTGGAAGTGCATCCGGGTGCATCGCTTGAACGGGGAGGTGTTTGAAGTCCCCCTCACGATCCAGGAGGCCAACAACCTCGTATCCACCAGAGACTTGAAGCAATGCCTGGCCAGACATGACTGCAGCAGCTGTCCCAGTCTTGAGGTAAAGATTTTGTGCTTCCCCCTGCAGTAGTCAGCAGCCAGCTATGTAACTATGCTCAGACACATGGCCCAAGAACGTTCGGCTACGATCGCGCCTAGAATAGAGGTACCCCAACATGCGCCCCAAATACGACAATCCCAGATTGTAAGGGCCACAAAGTCGGTACAACCCTAATTTGGGAAAGCCCCGTATGATCCCGAGTCTTGCCGAGAGCTTATTTCCTGGTCTTCCTCGGTCGTGGGAGCTTTGGTTTCAGATTCTGATTGTCTAGATTGCGCTGGGCCTTCATCCCTTCGGAACTTGGAGAGAAGTTTGCAGACACATGCTCGTATGGTCTCATTCCGGGTGTGCCCCACTTGGGTCGGATGAGCAATCTCAATCCGCCAAAATCCTTGGTATCAGTGCCGATTTTACGCCAGTGTGTTAAAATGCGCAGTGGAATACCCGACTAGTGCTGGAGCTGTCACTGGAAGCAGACGACATGGATAGCAAGTGTTAGACGAAACTTGCTGTAGCAGAGGATGCCTGTTGAGCGTTTGAATGTATTGAATGTTTACAAATCTGACTAGGGGCGCACCTTGGGAAAGGCTTGCCGGAACGGTTGGTTTTCTCGAGATGGCCACCGAGGCATGCCGGGAGCTCCCTTCTTCATCTGCCAGATGCGCCTGATACACATGGACACCGGCCTGGAGATCCCTGATGACAGCGTCAACTGGGAGTGGCTGGAGAGAGGCCGGGGAGTAGGAAAATCCATGCTCAGAGTCTCCTTGGTGCTTGACGGGGCTGTTTGTCATACGATTGAATGCTTCTTGTTGCCAGGGCTTCCATATGAGTATGCTGGCATGTTCAGAGCCACAAGGCATGAGCATGTGAAGGTCTAGGTGTGAGGACAACTCGTTTCATGTTCCTGAGTGTTAGATCAAAAAGCACCGCGACATTTGAGTAGCAGCCATTTCCTTGGGACGGGAGGCTCCCTTCAGTACGTGGTTCTGGATGTGATGTCCTTTGCTCTCGACGAACTTCCGCCCAGCGAATCCTTGGTCTTGGGTTACACAGATCTCCACCAGTTGCTGCACCCAAAACTCCTTATCAGGTGTGCCTTCAGTATTTGCAAGCAGCGGGGCCAAGCCTTCTGCGAGCACGTCTTTGGCGCCTGGGGCTCGGCAATGCGGAGCCTTCCGCGGACCGAGGTGAACTCACAGCTCTTTGGCAAGACATTCCTCACCCGCTGTCTGGACCTTCTTCACGCAGTCGACAGAGATGTGGAGGACATCATGCGTGACAAGTATCGTGGCGCAGGCGTTCGTTTTCATCTAGATGTTTCGGACTTCCATGACAAGCGCTGGCCAGGGGATCCCTTCGAAGACTTCCTTCACCAGACTTTTGCAGGCTTGGTCATCGAGCTCGTCAGGGAGAAGATGGATGTTGGAACTGTGGAAAGAACCTTCAACTTCCACAAGTGCGAGACAGAGAAAATCAATCTTTGGAGGCTCGTGAGGGGGGAGAAGTACCCCTACAGGAACCGCTCGTCGGGTTATTGGGGGGGTCTGCGTTTTGGGCTGGGAGCGGACCTCATGATGGCGCTGATCGACAAAGGTCTGCCAAGATGGTGCTGGGCTGGTTGCTTGGGCCCTTTCAATGACAATCTTCTCCAGTACACCATTGAACCAGCAAGTCATGTAGCTGCCATGGACGGCAAAGACGCAGCGCAAGGAAGGCTTTGCATATATCTAGCTCAAAGACTTGACGTTGAAGAGCTGTGCCATCGGAATCAGGATGGCAGAAGTGCGTTGTCCTACGCTGAGGAGTTTGCAGAGCACTTCGAATCGGGGCCTTTTCGGAGGGACCCAGATCAAGCTGTCTGGATTCAAGTACGAGACGTGATCAGGCAGGAGATGGAGGCCCACGTCAGGGCGTTTCAGGGCGACCTGCTTGCCTTGGTCGACCTCACGCGATCCGTGCGAGCAGGCCTTTGTGGTGACCCGGCGTTTTCATAGAAGCTTTTTCCTCTTGCTTGTCTTTTGAAGTGATTTTTTCCTCGACCCTAAACTTGGTTGTCGCAAAAAAGAAGTCTGGCATTGTGGTCACACTTCGGGGGTTCTGCCTAATTGCAATTGGGGTTTGGGCTTTGGTGTCATGTGCCGTCAGGTGATGCCGATGCTCTCGAGTCGCTTCCAGCCTTCGAAGATGAGCTTTGGCTGCGCGCTGCCCTGGTCCGTGACGAGTGGCTGAGGCAGGTGCTGTTCAAAACTGCCTTGGGTTAAAAGATCCGGCAGTGCAAGTTGTGAAGCATCCCTACACGTTTCAACGTCCTGAAGCTCAAGTCGCCCGAGCCCCAAATCCCGACTTGGTTCCCAAATCCCGACTCGGGCCGGTGCTCTTTGCAGCCGCGATTCTCGGAGAGGATGGGCTGGACGTTCCGCGAGGGCAGCGCCGACCAGCAGATTTCTGAGGTTCTGAGCTGGCACTACCAGGCGGTGGGGCAGGGCTTGCGACATCTCTAGCGCTTGGGGATCTCTCGCTTTTTCTTTCGATAGAATTTGCCGGAATTCGGGCTCTCCAGCCGCGAATGTGGCGTGTGAAGGGCTCAGAGTATCGTTCTCTCATGTTCTCTCCACCTCTCACACCGAGAGTCGCACCTCTCTCTCTCTCTTTTTTTCCTCTCTCTCTCTCTCTGTCTCTCTCTCTCTTTCTCGAGTTTGCCGCCGGATGGCATGAATTCGGGCTCTCCAGCCGCGAATGTGGCGTGTACAGGGCTCAGAGCATCGTTCTCTCGACCTCCGCACAGCCGCCAATTTACTCATTCAGGCTCCGTGGTGCATGGTCGTCCCAGACCAGTTGATGCTTCTTCTTTAGCTGGCTGTGCGAGTGAGAACGATCTAGGTCAATGAATCTCGAGGCGGCACGTCGGCCAAGGACTTGATCACTTGATTCTGGGACGACAAGCCTCAATAGTTTGGATGTCCTTGGTCACCCGCCACGAGAACCGGAATGGCCATATGTGCGGCCTGGAATGACTTGCACGTACCGCCGTGGCATGCAGAGAAATGCAGCGCAAATGCCCGAAGCTGCTCGTTAGCTATGCCGCGGTGTTTCGTCAGAGCAACAGATTTGCCGGATCGCTAAGGCATTTGCCTCGTCGCGACTGCAGGCCTGCTGCGCCAACTACCAACCCCAAACACTTAAAGCCCGAAGCCCTCAGACGACCATCTATCTGCCCTCAACGCTTTGCTTACCCTTTGCGCCGTGAACTTTGATGCACTGCATCCTACATCTGTTGACCGTGTTTGGGCATTGGGGAACACCCCAAGCCTAAAGACCTTGTCGTTTAATTTCATGAAAGCTGACAGGATTGGGAATCTGCAGAATCCGAACATCTGCATTCCATCTCACTTCTATATCGACCTTGGAAATCTTGGAATCGGGTCACAATTGGCCCGGATTCCGAATTCAGAGCGTATCGAGATGCACATCAAGCGATGTCGGAATCCGAACGTTCAGAATGATACCTACCTGGCCATTTCGACATCGTCCTCGATATCATCCACGCACGAAAATCCCCTCATTTGTGACCGGATTTCATCCTGGGGGAAGAATCGAATGGTAGCGAGAACCAGGTGGGATGTGGCAACATAGCAGTAGCGTTTCCCCCTCCCGCCCCCCGCCAGTTTGCGAGTCCCCAAGCTGCCTTTTTCGAAGCACTCCGAATCTAGAAATTTACTCGTTCAAGAATCTGCAGCTATTCGGCTTGGTGTCCGGATGAATTGGATATCTGCTCGCTTTCTGGGAGCAGGTGGATTGAGTGGTGTTGTAAATTCATAATTTTGCAGGGCCTGATGGGCGGGTGGGTGCTGGGTCTGTCGCCTGATAAGCTTCTTGTCTCGTGAATGCTTGCACGTGAGATGCTGAACCCCGAAACCTCAACCCTCAACCCTCAACCCTCAACCCTCAACCCTCAACCCTCAACCCTCAAGCCTCAAGCCTCAACCCTCAACCCTCAACCCTCAACCCTCAACCCTCAACCCTCAACCCTCAACCCTCAACCCTCAACCCTCAACCCTCAACCCTCAACCCTCAACCCTCAACCCGCAACCCTCAACCCTCAACCCTCAACCCTCAACCCTCAACCCTCAACCCTCAACCCTCAACCCTCAACCCTCAACCCTCAACCCTCAACCCTCAACCCTCAACCCTCAACCCTCAACCCTCAACCCTCAACCCTCAACACTCAACCCTCAACCCTCAACCCTCAACCCTCAACCCTCAACCCTCAACCCTCAACCCTCAACCCTCAACCCTCAACCCTCAAACCTCAACCCTCAACCCTCAACCCTCAACCCTCAACCCTCAACCCTCAACCCTCAACCCTCAACCCTCAACCCTCAACCCTCAACCCTCAACCCTCAACCCTCAACCCTCAACCCTCAACCCTCAACCCTCAACCCTCAACCCTACCGTAAACCCAAAACCCAAGACCCTAAACACAAACACTCCAGGAGCCAGTTCGCTGTCACCATCGGTCTGGTGCACCTACCGCCGAGACCTTAGCTGGCAGTCCGTGGTAAAGCTCTTAGGGTGCACGGGTATGGGTTTAGGGTTTAGGGTTTAGGGTTTAGGGCTTAGGGCTTAGAGCTTAGGGTTTGTGGGTATGGGTTTGGTGCCGCGCCGTCCGGCGCCTGAAGGCTGTGGTTGCATGGCATCTGTGAGATGTTTTGCCGTCTTGGGGCGCTCAGGAAACAACCCCAATCTTGCAACCACCAAGAGTTTTCCCCGCAAGCCTTATATACTCCTTCTACAATCCTTCGCATCCTGTTTATACGTGTATAGCCCCCCTCCGTCCAAGCCATGTGTGTGAAGCCAGGCGACCTGCTGGGCGATTGCTCGGACCACGACTCTGACTCGGGATGCATCGGCTCGCATAGCCTGAGACGTTTCAAAGACTGAAGACCTCTCTGTGCCTCAGGTTTAGAGGTTAGACGGCAGCGGAGCCATGGAACAGGAGCCTCTCCTGACCTGGAGTGAACCGGGTAGTTGAACGCCATCTGCAACTCGCCATGATTTTTCGACTGCCCTGGGCCCCGAGCAGACATCAAGGCAGGAGTGTTCGCACCAGTGAAAAAGAGCACGTTTGTTCCAAGCTCCTTCAGGCGCGAACCGTCGGAGCGGGATAGGGCAGGGATGGCTGCTTTAAGGCCCCGGAGCCCTACCACGACCCCGCGCCCAAGAAAAACCTCCTCAAACTCCGAGAACGGCCCCAAAATACGACTGGAGCCGCCCTCTCGAGAAGGTGCCGGAACTCACTTGACCTCTCTGGGTGCAGTCTTTCGCTGCTCAGACAGGAGGTGATGGCACCATGAAAGGCATTACACCGTGTGGAGCCTTCTAGGTCTGCAGTTTTCAGGGTTTATAGGTTTTGGGATGCCGGAGTTCCAGAGTTCGGGACCTATTTTCTATAAGAGGCGAGCTGTAGGAGCCTCTCCATGAATACCGTGCCAAGATCACTTGCGGACCTCCTAAGCCCCAAAAACACCCCACATGTCAGGGCCCACAAAACCTTCCAAAAAGTCGCAGAAGGGAAGCAGCAGTCGAGGCCCCAAAGAGCACTTCACCCCTCACCCCCTGCATTTTGTTTCCAATCATGGCCCGGGCCTTCTTTTGGGGCGCGCTGCTGTTGGCTCGCGCCGGGGGCTCGGGCGTAGTTTCTTTGTTTTGAGGGGGTTTAGGGAGGGTTTTAAGGGGACTTGTAGGTGGGCTTTGAGGAGGGGGGGTTTAGGTTTCTTGCGTTGCTGGAGCCCCCGCCATCCCAAGCCCAAAGCCCTAAAGCCCCTGAAGCCCCAAAACCCTCCAAACCCCCTCAACCCTAAACCCCCTAAACCCCCTTAAAGCCTAAAATCGGTAACCTCCCCAAACATCACCAAACCTCCACACAGGCTTCGAGCTTCGACCTGGGAGGATTGCTGGGCAGCAGCCAGCCCTTACCCCGGATGCCCCGGGAGCTGGGGATCAGTTCTCTGGAGTGTTGTGCGGAGGTTTTGAAGGAGAGGTTGAGAGGTTTGGAGTTTAATGGAACACTGCCAGCAAGTTGCATGCTTGAAGGGTATGACACCGTGACGATCTGGGCTACCTCTTGTACCTTGAATCGCTGGACCCTCCACCCCAAAACCCTCAACCCAAAACCCTCGAACCCTAAACCCCTAAATCCCTAACACGCAAAAACCCCAAAACCCGAAAACCCCAACTCGAAGAAGCCCCAGCATGGGGCTGCTTGAGTGCATCGCATGCTGAGGGCGCAGAAGCATGCCCGTGCCTCAGGGATGTGATTGGCTGCGGGAGGTTTCAAGTGCCGCAAAATTGATTTCTGGGGATTTCGGCTTAGGGTTTGGGGCTTTAGGGCTTAGGGTGTAAGGTATGGAAAATTTGGGGTTTTGGGAAGAGCCAGCTACGAGAACTGCCCCGGCGGCTGCCCAACACTCCGCTTAGAACCACACTCACGATTGACATCTTTGGTAGACGGACAGTGCGACCTCGGTTCGATGGACAAAGGCTTCGGTTTCGATTGCCCAGCAGCTCTTCTCTAGGCCCCAGGAGTAGGGGAAATTCACCCTCTGTGAAGGCTGTGGACGAGTTGACGAATAAAAACCTCAAGCAGTACATGAAGGACTGCCGCCACCGCCCGAAAACGAAAACAAAAATCCTGCCCCTTCATGGGTGAGTGTGCTGCTTCTGCAGGAGAACCCCGTGACTGCGATTTTGTTCTACGCCCCCTGGTGCTTCTACTCGCAGCAGGCTGTCGCTGTCATGTCATGCGGCCCTCCAGTCGAAGCGCGATAGAGCCTCGAGCCTAAATCGTACAAGCAGCTGCAGCTGCCAAATCTCCCACGCCGTCCCTTGCTCTGCCGGACTGCTATGCTAGGTTAAGGCTTTATACATCATGAGCTCTAGCAGAGAGCTGTCGGAACCCGCAACGTCTGCACCTCCAAGGCCATTCGTAGCCCAGGTATCCCATGCTCATGAGCCATGAATTGATCTAGTAGCTACCAGGGTCTCAGCTCCTGTGCTCATGGCATCCGGCCATGATCTCTCGGCCGCCTCCGCGCGGGAGTGCTTCGTTTCGGAGCTGCTGAGGGCCGACCTGCCAGAGGACGGGGGTCCCAAACCTGAAGAAACTAAACCCTAAACCCCCAAACTCCTAAACCCTAACACCTTAAACCACGAAGCCCGAAACCCCTAACCCTTAAACCCTAAACTTCCTAAACCCCTAAACCCCAAACCCTGAATCCCCATTGGCGATTGCAGTTTAAGGCACCAGGTTATCCTCAACCCCAAGCCCTAAACCCTAAATCCCTAAACCCTAAACCCTAAACCCAGGTGACCACATGGCATGCGTCGAGGCCGAAGCACGAGCAGAGGTCCCCAACGGGCTTTTGGGGTGCAGGGTTTAGGGTTTACGGCTTAGGGTTGAGGGGGTTGGGAAGTTTGGGTTCCCAGGATTGTTCTGGTTTGGGGAGTTTGGTGCTTGTTTTTTTTTTTTTTTTTTTTTTTTTTTTTTTTTTTTTTTATTTTTTCATTTTTCCGGTTTTTTTGTGTGGTTAGGGTTTAGGACTTCGAGGGATGATGAGGGCTTTGGGAGAGGGGGTGGTTTGTGGGTTTGAGAGGGCTCCGAGTTGCTCTAGGCCCCAAAAGCCCCACACAGCCGACCATGTCTACAATCTTCGCTGGCTTGAGTTCCTTTTTTTCATCACCGAAGGCGAAGCTTTGTGGTTTGCAGGGTTGAAGGGTGGAGGGTTCAGGGGTTCCCTAAACACCTAAATCCTATCGAGCCTCCACCGCGCGCCCCCATGCTGACAGGCGCTTCCTTCGCACCCTCAGCTCCCTCCACGCAGCGCAGTCGCCTGAGCGCCTCGAGGTGCCCTGGGTTTTGCAGCTTGTGAACGAAAGCTTTTCGGGGTTCATCGTTGGTCCCCTGATCTTCTCTAACCTCCCAAGAAGCTGTTTTGAGCTTTCTCCTGCTCTCTGCCTCACTTTGCCCTGCACAGGTCGTTGGGGTGTGCGCAGCCCCAGATGCCCTGAAGGGCCAAAGGCCGCCGTCCTAGGGCTTCAGCCCCCACACCCTTGCACCCTCAGTTTTTCAGCCCTGAAATCCAAGGTTTTTTAAAGCTGGGAAGCAGACCAGTAAAGGCAGCCTCGAAGTAAAGGCGAACGTTTGGAGAGAGAGCCCCTTGCGAGGCCGAGCCCGGCTGGTGCAGCCAAGCGCAACTCCTTCCTGGCATCTCAGCAGCTGTGGCCCAAGCCCCCCCCCCCCCAACTCAATCGTTGAGACTGACACCCTTCTTTAGGGTCTGAGGATTCAGGATTGAATCCGGGATACCAGGAACTAGGGAGTAGGGTTTTGGGTTGTTGATACTTCACCTGAGAGTAGCTCGCCTTGGCTCGGCTTTGGAACATTGCCGGGGCCCGAGCGCCCCGAGCAAAATACAAATCCTCCTCTTCAACCCAGCCATGGTCTTTAAGCCCTGAACCCTACACCCTAAACCCGAAGCCCTAAAACCTAAACCCTAAACCCTAAACCCTAAACCCTAAACCCTAAACCCTAAACCCTAAGCCCTCAACCCCCAGGACTGGCTCGATGGCCACAGCTCCGAGTCCACCTCCGTGGGCTCCCGCGAGTCCAGCCTGGCCACCCCCTCCCTCTCCGAGACGGACCTCTCCTCCTCGGTGTGCAGCGGCCTGGCCGTGATGAGCTCAGGGCTTTGGGGTTTCTAAGAGCTTTGGTATGTCGTGTATTTTCATGTTTGTGTTTATATATATATATATTTATTTAGTTGTTTATTTGTTTATATATATATATATATATATATATAAACATATTTTCCCAGTTTTTTTTTTTTTTGGGGGGGGGTGTGGCGGGTTGAGAGTTGGTTGGGGGGGTTGGGGGTTCGCTGCTTGCGCTCGTTGCCCAGGCTTTCCGGGCACTACGAACCAGGCGGCGTTCCGCAAGCACAAGCGCGCCGCGGCGGTGAATCGGCCCCCGAAGCGGCGACCGGACTTCTACTCCGGATCCGGAGTGCGAGACAGCCTGAGCCCGGAGAACTGGCAGTGACCGGGCTCATCTGCTTCTTTTTTTTGTGGGGGTGGCGTAGGGTTTGGGGTTTTGGGGGCCCTTTTTGCAGAGTTGTTTCTTCTGATCTTTGTCGAACCGAGCTGATGTGCGGCCCTTTCCATGGCCCCTGCCTTGCAGGTTGGACCCGACTACCAGCTACCAGAAGCATTTCGGGATACCCAAGCCCGCCATGGAGGATGCGGCGGTCCTGGCCAACAAGTGCACGGGAGTGTTCAAGGCTGCCCAGTGGTTCAGGGAAGCAAATGACAAGGATGCATGCTCTAGCCGGGTGCACGCACGGTTGGTAGAAGAATGAGGCAGCCATGTGACAGGATTGTTGTGGCTGGGATCGTTGCTCAGCTGTTGCCGCTGCTTAACACCCCCCTGAGCTTCATATGCCAAGCCACCCAGGTTGAGGGATCATAGGGACCATTGCATTGGGGATCAGGGTATCGCATAGGGTGCAACTCCCTCCCCATGGGGCGCCAGGCCGGTCAGCAGTCCAGCATGCAGCGCTACGCGCATGCGTCCGACGCGGCCCAACGCCGGGAGTTCGCTTTGGCAGCCCTGCTGGAAACATCATAGCCCCGTTTCAGAAGTTGGGGGTTTCCTAGTGTTTAAAGGGCAATAGGACCGTATTCTTCAGGGGCTTAAGGCGTGAACTTTAAATTTATTAAACCCTCTGACCATCTTCGGAGGCAGTGCGGTCGCTGGAGTCCTTGCGAACGGCACAGCGAAAGCAGAGCCCGGCTCTTACGATCCGCCGCACATTTCACAGCATTTTGCGCGAGTTTGTGGGGGGATCTGCAGCCCGGGAGCCATGGCTTTTCGGGGCCCGAGCCCAAATCCAACCGTCTGGAGCTTTTCCCTGGCCTGGGCCGCTTGCCGATTGCAGTCTCGCAAAAGTTTGCCCGGGGGCAAAGAAGCATAAGAAACAAGAGTTCCTGGAAGGCCGTCGGGGGCTAGCTAGATCGACTATGTCGCGATTCCGTGAGTGGCCACTTCGTTGTCTCTGTGATGTCCTGCGGCCCATGTCCGCAAAGACGGAATGCATATTGGAATGACAAGCGCACTTCGTGTGGATTAGTTGCCTATGTCACACGTGTGTAGAAGAAATGAGACAAACGCAGCAAAAACCTGATGCTCACTGCACTGACCGGCAGAAACACAAGAAATGCTGCAACCTGCCCAATTTGGCCCTTTGTATCTCCTGACATGTCCATATCTTTGGTGCAGCGATTTTCGACCGCCAGGGGCCAGTTGGGAGAGCAGTTTGAAAGGGTTTCTTGGACTTTGAAGGATTGGGGTTTGCATGTCCGGTCCTGCACCCTAAACCAAGGCTGCTGTCCAGTTGATGTGACGCTAAACCTCAAACCCAACACCCTCAACCCGAATCTCGAAGCCCTAAATCCTAACCCCTAACCATTAACCCCTAAACACCTATAAATGAAGATAGCCGGCCCGTTTTCATGCCTCCCCCAACGCTCCTGAAGAGAGCCCTGGGGTCCTCCAAGGTAGGTCACACCTGGACTTCGACCGCAAGGCGCGCCGGCTGCAGGGTGGAGGGTTCAAGGTTGAGGGTTTCGAAACTTCCGAATATCCCTAAACCCTAAACCCTAAACCCTAAACCCTAAACCCTAAACCCTAAACCCTAAACCCTAAACCCTAAACCCTAGACCCTAGACCCTAAACCCTAAACCCTAAACCCTAAACCCTAACCCTATAACCCTAAACGGAATCGCCAGAGGAGAATGAGCGCCTCTGGAAGCCGCCACTGCAGCGGCCGGTGGTGGATGCAGCCCGAGCTCAGAGATCGTGCTGACCTCAGTTTCATGGTTGATGATTGCTGCAAGTGTAGGGTTTAGGGTTTAGGGTTTAGGGTTAGGGTTTAGGGTTTAGGGTTTAGGGTTTAGGGTTTAGGGTTTAGGGTTTAGGGTTTAGGGTTTAGGGTTTAGGGTTTAGGGTTTAGGGTTTAGGGTTTAGGGTTTAGGGTTTAGGGTTTAGTTTTTAAGGTTTAGGGTTTAGGTCCAAGCACAGAGCCTTCGCTCCCGAACCCCCCCGCTGAGGCAAGTTCCTCTGGGCGTCGTGTGTCAGAGGGAGGCGCCTACGCTGCCCACACCAGCTCCTGCCGCAGACAAGATCGCCGCCGGGCTGTTCTTGGGAGGTTTTGGGGTGTCAGGATTCAAGATTGTGGATCGCTTCCAGCACCCGCTTGCTAAGGCTGAAGACGTGCCTCAGAGCCCTTTGGTCTCCGAATTGGGATCCTTGCCTCTGACGGCCCTGTCCTACGCGGAGTCGGTGGATGCAAGCTCCTTGCCGGCCTCTTCCCGCAGGCCCGAGTCCGCCAAAGGGAGCCTGCAAACCTCCAAGAAGGCCTCGGGCGGGAGCTCGGCAAGGTCCTCCAAGGCCTCCAGGCCCTCCCGGCCTCTCTCCGCCGCGCTTGCGCGCCCAGCCCACTCATCTTCTTCTCAGGGCTCCGGGCCTGATATGGGGCGGCGGGTGGCATCCCAGGAGAAGGAGAACCATCCGGAACTTGTGCCCCCGGACCCTGACCTGGGCTCCGAGCATCCGGGGCCCAAGAATGAACTTGCAAAGCGCTTCGAGACCATCTTCAGGCGGGGAGTTTCCTCCATAGAATCCCTTGCAGGGTTATATAGGGAGATTCAAAGCCCGCCCAGTTCCCTAAGCTCCTGAACCCAAACCCTAAACCCTAAAACCTAAACCCTAAACCCAAGAGGCCCATCCGCACCAACGTCAAACGCGTCGGGTGCCTCGCCTGGATGGAGTGATGGCCGGAGGTGGAATCGATGGTCGGGTGTTGGGTTAGGGTTTGGGGTTTGGGGTTTGGGGTTTAGGGTTTAGGGTTTAGGGTTTAGGGTTTAGGGTTGATGTTGAAGAGTTTGACGGGTTTAATACATGTAATACATGCCGAGTGCTACGGCAAGAGTAAGAATCAATAGAAAAGGGTTTCTATGGTTTCGGTGCTAGAGGGTGGTGCATGGTTAGAAAATGGAAATGGTCTCCGCTAACTGTTTCAATTAAGGCATGCGGCAGAACTGCCGAAGCATCATGCCATGCTTTCTCACGGTTGTGCTGGTGAGGCAGAACCATGTGGGGGATTGTCTAAATTATGGTCCCTCGTGGGGTTCCTACTATCATACGGAGCCTTGTATTCAGGGTACCCGAAAGAGGACTCCCCCATGTAGCATGTAGGATTGCGAGAGTCGGGAATGAAAACCGGCTCCTGTACACTTTGCATTCTGCCAACTTGCAGTCCAGCTTGAGAGTTCCCTCGGGTTGGGAGACCTGAAGCTTCAACATCGGAGCCGGCCCCCTCAATGCCTCCATACTCAGTTGAGTCTTCTTAAAAAGGACACCCGGAAGAAGGGACGCACCAAATACTCGTAGGATTCAGGAAGGCCCGCAAGTTTGGCAGATGCTTGCATGGAAGGGCATCAAGTCCCCGGCAAATGAACCGCCCCACGCTTGAGCGTGGTGGGGCCTCGTGCATGACTCGCAGGGAAGTGCCGAAGTGAGCCATGAGCCGCAGTCTTGCAGCCGAAGCCCCACACGCTAAAACCCCGAACCCGATAAACCCTGCACCCTTAAACCCCGCACCCTATAAACCCTGCACTGAACCCTAAACCCGAAACCCACACCCTCAGTCCGCAAAGGGAGCCCCGAAGACACGGGTTTGAACCTCTGATCCCTGAGTGATAGTAGTGGTAATAGTCATGGTAGTGGTCAGTGGTAAGAGTCCGGGTCAGAGTAGTAGCATTAGAGAGTTGCAATAATAGTAACATATAGTAACCATAGTAAGGAAGACAACGGGTTTGCAGGTCATGCCCGCCTGGGATCTTGCTGCCCAGAAGCTGGAAATCCACGACCCGCCCCGCCCTTGACGGTCGCCTTTGTTTTACCGTTTTTTTGTTGCTATATCCCCCTTGGGAATTTTTTTTCCATTTTTGTTTATATAAAACCCAAGGGGATATTGAACGTATTGATTTTATTAAGGTTCTACGGGGAGTATAGGTTGAAGCCTGCGCATGTTGGGCTTGTGGTTGTGCTGGTGTTTTGGGTTGTTGGGTCTTCTTTTGTTGCTTTTGTTGTTTATAGGCTTCCTGGAGTTCCTGTTTCCGCATGGAGGTTTGGGTTTGGCATAGGAGGTCGCGCTGGCTGAGGCCGGTCAAGCTTGCAAAGATTGACGCGAGCAGATACTCGTGCGGGTCCTACTGCCAGACTGCCAGACCTCAATTTCGGGCGTGGGTGTAGTCATTGCAAGCACTTGCATTCTGGCTGAGGGATGTGGGTGAAGAGAATGAAATCCATTCCTATCCCACCATGAAGCTGTTCGTGGACGGCGCCGTGTTCGACTACGACGGTGCAGGGCGTGGGTGGAAGCCTCGGGTGAAAACCGGTCTCCTCTCTGCAAACATCCGCAGAATCCGCAGAAAGTCCGTTACTCAGGTGGCAGCAGATCGTCAAGTGGGTCAACCGACACTTAGAGAGGGATCATGTGCTGAAATCCGTGGAGGCGCTTGGGAGTTCATGGTGAAAGCCTGCAAAAAGCCTGGTTTTTTTGAAAAGTGTCTGCAAGGAGTCGGAAACCTACTTGCACGACAACGAGCTGACCGTCATTGGCCTCTTTCCTGACGGCTCGCGCGCCTGTTTTCCGGGAGTGTGCAGACACATCTCTGGTCTCAAGCCTCTCGCGCTAGGCCACGACAGCAGCGTCTTCGTGAAGGTCCGACTGAGATTTTTCGAGACAGCTGCCCAGAGATCCAAGCATCTAAATATAAGTCGCTTGGGAGGCCGCGCGGCACTATGAAGACGTGGTGTTTGCAGAGGCTGCCGCTGTGCATGTCTTCCCACATCCGGTTTAGGAGAGGCCTCCTAAGAATGGGAAAAACTTATTAACTTAAGTAACTAAACTACTTCAATCAACTAAGTTAATTAAACTAATGAAATTTCCCTATTTTCCCCACAGTGAAGAGACGCTTCGCAAGGCCAGGGGGAACGACATCGCTGCCCAGATCGGTGAGCACCTTGGCAGGCGCAGTTGCAGCCCAAGGGGGTCAAAGCTTCGACTGCAGCCCTTGCTTTCCCCTTAGCCTTATTCAAAGTTTCAGGAGTAGGGAGGCCGAAGATTCATTCGTGCAATGGCATGCAATGACTTCCGGCTACAAGCAGGACGCTAAACTGCAGGAGCGCCTGCAGCGCGAACTGAAGCGCTTGCGACAGGAGGGCTCCAACAGCCAGTGTGCAGACTGCAGTGACACGGACACCCGCTTTGCTTCGACAACTTTGGGAATCTTCCTGTGTAACCGATGCTTTGGCATCCATCGGGCGCTCGGCGCGCACCTGACCCGCGCCAAGGTCCTCACCTTGGATGCTTGGAGCGAGGCCGAGGTCGCGCATCTGGCTGCCGTGGGTAACTCGCGGTCCAACAGCTGCTACTTGGCGCGGCTGCCTCCCGACGTGCCCCCACCTGGCCCCACCACATCAGACAGGGAGGTCGAGCGCTTTGCCCAGCGGAAGTACGGGGAGCGGCGCTGGTACAGCGAGGCCCAGCCCAACGCAGGGGCCTCATCGGCCAGCCAAAGCCCAGCGGCCTATGTGGCTCCAGGCACAGCAAGCACGTCAGGCACGTGCACGACTTTGCCAGCTGCGTTGATTCCGGACCTGCTCTGCCTGGAACCCGCTGGCCTACAAGCAGCCGCGGGCTCACGAACTGAGGCTCCTGAGGCCACTGCCTGGCTTGCAGACTTTGATCCATTTGCGACGACAAAAGGGCCGGTGACCGTCTTTCTCCCTTTTGGTTTTCGAGCGCGGTTTTGAAGCACCACGTTAGCCTCACCATCATCTTCCAGTCTGTGCCAAGCAGGCATGCCGCCCTCCTGTGCGAGACCATCACTGTCGGGCAGAGTGAGTCCGCCACCAAGCAGGCCCACGGCAACAATTGACCACTCAGGACAGAGGATCTAGATACTGTTGGGGGCCAGGCTAGACTTCTCTCTCCTTCTCTATCCTCTCTCTTTTTTCCTGTTTTCGCAATGAAATACCATTGCTCTTTCTCTCTCTCTCTCTCTCTCTCCTCCCTTTTTTTTCTCTCTCTCTCTCTCTCTCTCTCTCTCTCTCTCTCTCCCTCCCTCCCTTTTGTCTCACAACCCCCGAGCCGGTAGGTGGACCTACCCCGTGCTGACCTTCACTGCCAGGATACTCCAAGGACCTCACTGAGGGGACTCAAGGGGAGTTTTGGGGGTCGCTTCGGTGCAGTGATGAAGGCAGAACCCCCGGAAGCTCTTGAGACAAAGTGACAAGCAGTGCTCAAGGAGCAGACCTTGTACAGCTTCCACAAAAGCAACTTCATAGTCCACCCTCTCTCCTTTGTCTTTTTCTTTCCAGGTTCTAGGATTTCGAGTGTGCAGGAATCCCCAGCGGCCTGACTGGGGGGATACCTTCAGCGTCAGCGTGGAAGGTGTCCTGGCATGGTTCGCCTCGGTTGTAGCCATGCTCAACACATTAATCGCTTCGCCCTTTTATTAAATGGAGCCCTAATAATAAAAACACTTTCCGGAAAATCCAGCCGAAACCAACCCCGCCTTTAAACCCTATTCCGAATTTGGGGGGGGGGGGGGGGGCTCAGGCCTCCAAGAAGCACCTTAAAACCAATAAAGCCCTCAGAGGGTTTAGGCTTGGGGGTCTGGGGTTGAGAGTCCAGTCTTTTCGCAGCACGATGCTCTCTTTCAGTTTACACCACACTTACTTAAGTTGATGACTTGAGTAACCCTGAAGTCTAATGAATTATGACATTTCGATAAGAATACCCCTTCATAATATAAAACACTTTTCGAATTTTTAAAGGGGGGGGGGGAGGGCGGGCCCGCCGTTTAATATTCGGGGGAAGGGATTACTCCTAAATTTTTAGAAGGTCCTGAGCTCGAGAAAGACTTGATGGTGCAGGTGATTAAATTGGCAAGTGCTCGTGGGGCTATTCGGGGATATCCCTAAACCCTACCTAAACCCCACGCCCGAAACCTTAAAGATCTCGTGACTTGCCGTGGCCAGGTAAAAGGCTGACAGTTAAGCGGACAGATCAGCCTGGTGCTGAGTCAGGGTTTCCCTAACCCTCGCCCCTCAACCCCAAATCCAAAATCATATGGAACCCGAACCTGTTGTTTTAACAGCAGTGAACGAAGCCCTGGACCTGCTGACGCGAAGCTTGGGGGCGGGGGGGGCCTTGGGGGATTGCCGGCACGGCATCCTGCAACGCCTAGTCCTTTCGTTTGAAGTGAAGATGCTCTTCGACCCGGAACTCTGAAACCTCAACCCTCAACCCGAAACCCTAAACCCTAAGACCTAAACCCTAAACCCTCAACGCTAAACCCCAAACCGCAAGCCCCAAAGCCGCGGAACCCCTGAATGTTTCAACAGCTCATCCTACATCGCCTAGTCCTTCCGGTTAGAGTGATGATACTACGCCTTGACTCGAGGTCTGCTGGGTGGGGACAGCGGGTGCAGATCAAGTGCTGCGATGACGAGAAGAAGGCGGAGAAGGCCACCCGCTGGAGGTTTAGGGTTGAGGGTTTAGGGTTTAGGGCTTAGGTTTAGGGTTTAGGGAGTAAGTTCCGGCTTTGGGTTGAGGGTTTCAGACCAGGGTGTCTGTATTTTGCCCGAAGCATGTACCCAACATCCCAAACCCGGGATCAATCCATGCAGAGGAACTATGACCCTAAACTCTGAACCTGAAAGCCTACAATCCCGGAACCAAAAAATGCCTCAGCCTCCTAAGCTCCGAAACCCTCAAGAGCAAGGCGTCGTACCACCAACTCTGAACCCTGAAGCACTCAAACCTCAACTCCTTCATTGAAGCTAAACCCTAAATCCTAAACCCTCAGGCCCATCCCCGAAAGCTGCCAGGAGCATCCCAAGTTTGCGGTGCCATCGGTGGTCATGCACGGGCCCCATCGCGCTGTGCAGTTCGTCCTTTGTCGCGTCGCTTCGGGGAGTGGGGTTTAGGCTTCGGAGTGTGTTGGGGTTTAGGGTTTAGGGTTTAGGGTTTAGGGTTTGGGGTTTAGGGTTTAGGGCTTCAGGGATATTCGCTTGAAGCACAAAGGAGCCCTGAAGGTTCTTCCCCCATGACGAGCGCTACGCCGTGTACGACGGCGACCTTGCGGACAGCCAATCCCTGGATAGGCCCGGGGCGGTGTGGTCACCTGTCGGGTCCATTGGGTTTGGGGTTTAGGATTTAGGTTTTAGGTTTTAGGGTTTTGGGCTTGGATTTTTAGGGTTTTGAAGTGTACTTGCGGCTTGAAGTGCGGGTGCATGGGTTTCACTTTAGGACTTCCCTTTTCGGCCGGGGACTATGCCAGGTGGGTCACTGCGAGGCGCACGCCAACGGTCATGCGCCGCTGGGCGTCACTGTGAGCGTCATCTGAACCTTGTTGGGTTCAGGGCTTACGGTGTCAGGATTAAGGGTGGTTCAGGTGTGGTTTGTGAAGCTTAGGGTGGTTTAGGGTGGTTTAGGGTGCAGGGAAAAGGGATCAGGGTTTAGGGTGTCAATAGACAGGAGCATTCGGGCTCTACAACCCCCTAAGTTCAGAACCCCGAACCCAACCCCAAACCCTAAAACCTAAACCATAAACCCTAAACTTAACCCTAAACCCGAAAGTCAAGGGTCCCCCCCAAAGGGTGCGACACAGCATGCTCGGGTTTGGGGTTTGGGGTTCTCCACCTTCAACCCCCCCCCCCTACATCTCCCTAAATCCCTAATTCCTAAACCCCCTAAATCCCACCACCCCCCCCCCCCAAACCTAAACCCTAAACCCTAAACCCTAAACCCTAAACCCTAAACCCTAAACCCTAAACCCTAAACCCTAAACCCTAAACCCTAAACCCTAAACCCTAAACCCTAAACCTAAACCCTAAACCCTAAACCCTAAACCCTAAACCCTAAACCCAAAAAAAGAAAAGAAAAGAAGGTATGGACCAGGAGACTGCCGAGAAGCTCTTCTCTGCGAATCCGGAGAACGTGCCAGCCGGGACCCCGGTCTGGAGGGGGATTAGGGTTTAGGGTTTAGGGTTTAGGGTTTAGGGTTTAGGTTTGAGGGTTTAGGCGGTTGAGGGTTTCGGGTTTTTGTGAGGGGGTTGTGAGTCACGTATCGGACCAGTGCACAGGGTTGAACATTATTATTTTGAAAGACCAGAAGATCTGGTTGGCGCCAGAAGTCGTTGAACGTGCAGCGCAACTCAAGTTGTTGGGCGTTTTGCAACCTGAGTTGTGCATTGTGCATCGTCGACCGACGTGGGGCTTGAGGAACGTGCAACTCAGACGGTGCTTCAGTGTCTCAAGTATGGTATCGATTGGGTTCGCCTCGGTGCATGGATGGCTACGGCCCCATTGCTGTCCGCAGACCCCTCTGCAAGTCTTTGATCTTCAACAAGCCTATATATCGGTTGACTGCTTCGAAACCCTAAACCAGAAGCCCTAAATCTCTGATCGCCTATCTCAGTCAGCCATTCCTTGTCTTCTGAGGTGCTCTTCCTGATCACTTCAAACAGCGACACAAGCGAAGAGAAGGTCTTCCGGGAGGCCCCACTGAAAGTTTGGGGTGGCTGAAAGGGTTTCGGGTTTAGGGTTCAGGGTTTTTAGAGCCCTTCCCAAGACCCCAAACCCCAAACCCCAAACCGTAAACCCTAAACCCCAAACCCTAAACCCCAAACCCTAAACCCTAAACCCTAAACCCTAAACCCTAAACCCTAAACCCTAAACCCTAAACCTCCTCCGCCTAAAACCCTGGACTCCCCAAAGCCTAGCGTCCAAGCGACCCTGAAAGGTTTAGGGTTCAAGTTTAGGGTTTAGGGTTTAGGGTCGAGGGTTTAGGGTATAGGGTTTAGGGTTTAGGGTTTAAGGGCTTAGGATTGATGGGTTTAGGGTTTCTTGCTTTGGGAAAATCGAAAGCCCAGGCTGCCGTCAAGTTGCGAGGCAGGGTGCATTGCTGCCTGTCGGAGCCCTGCCAGCAGCCGTCTTTACCGGCTTCTTTGTTGGCTTTAGGGTTCGGGGTTTAGGTTGGGATGTTCCCCCATATCCTAACAGTCCTTAAGGATTATAAACTGGGTACGATAATCCCTGTTAGTATAAGGGGGAACATCCCAAGGTTAATGAGTGTTAAAGCCGAAACCCCAAAACCCTAAACCGCAGCTGTAATGGGACAATGGGTTTTGCGCGGTTGGGGCTTAGGGGCGTTGTGGTTTGCCCCCCCCCCCCCCCCCCCGGCCAACCCCCCCAAAACCCTGACTCCCTACCCTCTGAACCCTTAACCCTCAAACCCGCAACCCCTAAACCCCGAACCCTTAAACCCCTAAACAACCCTAACCCTCAAATCTTAATCCCTCAACCCTTACGTACACACCGCACCCCCTATGTAAGGCCTAAACCTATCGTTTCGTAGTAGGGAACCAGGAATTTGGTATCCCCTCCTAAACCCCAAGAACCAGTGAAGTAAGCCAAGGGCCTGAACTCGCCGATGGAGCGGCGAACTGCCGAGATGGCTGGCGTGGAGGGTGCCGGGCCTGTGATCACCCTGGTGGAGGCAACATGAAGGGTTTAGGATTTATCGGGTATAGGGCTCATCTAGTCCCCGCAATGGGTTAGATTAGGGGACAATGCAACTTGCCAATCCCCTAACCCTTCAAAACTATTTGGGTATCCCCAAATATTGGCTCTGTGATTCAAGCCCCAGAGCAAACTCAAAGCCCTGCCCTTCTCCTCTTCTTTTGTTGGCGCAATTCCTGGGCGCCCATCAAAGACAAGCAAGCCCCCCCGAGCCCCCAACAAGCATCCCCCCCTCAACCCCCAAACCCCTAAACCCCAAAGCCCTACACCCCTAAGTGCCACAAACCCTAAGCTCTAAACACTAAAGCCTTCAACTTCAACCCCTGAACCCTGCAAAGCTGTCTAAGTCCCTACAGCCCGAAACCCCATGGCAGACCCACTCTGGGACTGGCCCTACTGGCCAATACCACGCCGCGCGGAAGTTCCGCCTGCCGCTGGAAGGCTGACGGTTTATGGTTTGGGTTTAGGCTTTGGGGTTTCGTGTTTAGGGTTTTTGGGTTTTAGGGTTCAGGGTTTAGGGTTTACATAGGGTCTAGGGTTTAGGGTTTAGGGTTTAGGGTCCGAAGCCCTAGACCCTGTTGAGCCCTAAAAACTTTTCAGTACAAGCCCTAACGCTGAACTCGAAACTCGCGACCTTGGACTTCGATCCGAACTTGCGCGAACCCGAGTTTCGGGTTTAGGGGTTAAGGGGCTGAGGGTTCAGGGATTTCAGGGTCGGATTCGGGTTTAGGGTTTAGGGGTTAGGGTTTGGGGTTTACGGTTTACGGTTTAGGGTTTAGGGTATAGGGTTTAGGGTTTAGGGTTTACGGTTTCCGGTTTAGGGTTTTAGGGCTCAGTAGGGCTCAGGGTTTAGGGTTCAGGGCTTTGGGTTTTCGGGTTTTCGTGGCCGCAGGCCTCAGTGCCGACAAGATCGTCAGCTTCGTGTCCGACTACGAAGGCAACAGGCCAGGCGAGTTCTGCCCCCCCTGAAACCTGAAACCCTAAGCCCTAAACTCTAAACCCTAAACCCTAAACCCTAAACCCCAAACCCCAAACCCCAAACCCTGAACCAGAAACCCTAAAACCCTAAAACCTAAAACCCTAAACCCTAAACCCTAAACCCTAAACCCTAAACCCTAAACCCTAAACCCTAAACCCTAAACCCTAAACCCTAAAACCTAAACCCTAAACCCTAAACCCTAAACCCTAAACCCTAAACCCTAAACCCTAAACCCTAAACCCTAAACCCTAAACCCTAAACCCTAACCCTACACCCTAAACCCTAAACCCTAAACCCTAAACCCTAAACCCTAAACCCTAAACCCTAAACCCTAAACCCTAAACCCTAAACCCTAAACCCTAAACCCTAAACCCTAAACCCTAAATGTAAACCCTAAACCCTAAACCCGAAACCCTAAAACCCTAAACCCCAAACCCTTGACCACCCTCGATTGCTGAACCCGACCGAAGGTTGGAGCCATGGCTCAAGAGTGAGCCCGAGCCCTCGGCCGAGGACTTGCGGGGTTTCAGGGTTTAGGGTTTAGGGTTTGGGGTTTAGGGTTTGGGGTTTAGGGTTTAGGGTTTGGGGTTTAGGGTTGGGGTTTAGGGTTTGGGGTTTGGGGTTTGGGGTCTAGGGTTGGGAGTTTAGGATTGGGGGTTCTGGGGCTGGCAGGCAGATTGGGGTGGAGATGCAGTAGGGCTTACGGGGGATGAGGGGTGCAGGGCTGGTCAGGTTTTGGGGGTATTTGGGAGTTTCCGAAAAAAAGGGGTACTCTTTTTGGGGGCCCCTTTAAGGGAATTTTATTCTCTGGTGTATAGAAGGAGTACCCCCCCTCGTTTTTTTGGGAAATGCCCAAATTTAGGGCTAGGTTGAGTGGTTTATGGCTTCCGGGGGTTTAGGGTTTAGAGTTGAAAGGTTTACGGATGTAAGCTTCATGGGTGCAGGGCTTATTGGGGCTTCAGGGTTTTTGAGTTTCTGGGGGTGAGCCCTAAAAAAGGCAAGCGAACCGATCCGCGGCCAGGATCTCAAAATCGGAGGCCCAGTGGGGGTGCTGGTGGGCACGAATTTTCGCAAGACCGTCGAGGACGAGACGAAGGCCACTGCCTGAAGGGGTTTTAGGAAACCGTAAACCCGAAACCCGAAACCTTAAACCCTCAACCCGAAACCATGAACCCCTGCCCCTAAACCCTTTTGGGAACTCGGGTTTTTGCACGAGTTCAGTAGCGATCCAGGGTTGAAAGGATGGATGATTTGGGGGTGTAAGGGTTCCTACTGGAACTTTTTTCCAGCGCCCTTGTATTGCATCTTGGTGGATCCTCGGTCCTCGAGTTCTATTCTCTTGCAGCTTGGGCGACGCCTGGTGTGAAATAGTTGCAAAACTCAAGTGCTCTCCGTGACCTGTTTCGCCTTAAGACTGACAGTCTAGCTTAGCTCGGCTGCAGCCGTGTTTGCTGCAAACTGACTCGGAGTTGAAGATGAGGGCAGGGCAGGGCCGTTCTGGTCTCATTGCGGACAGGTTTTTGCTTCACAGGAGTAACGACAGGCATACGAAGTCAGGTCTTGAATGAGTGCTGCATCCTCCGCAATGCCATACTTCCCCATACGCAAAAAACAACAACGAGGTTTCGGGTCCGTTACAACGAGGTTTAAAAGAACCCCAGGTTTCCACTTGCGTAGCCATGAAGGACCTCTGTGAGCATTGGCCCCGAAACAGCAAATTTGCAAGGATGTCTTGGTGGACTTCTACGCACCCTGGCTAGGACCTCAGACGCCGTCTCCCTTTGATGCCTTCCGGAATTGCATAGCATCCGCTGCTTGTTGCTTGCCAAGCCTTGGATCAAAGGGAGGAGAATGGATGGAGAATGGGGGGTAGATGATGGGTAGCATGGGGACATGGCGATGCATGCGTGCGGAGAATGGAGCCGCGTGAGGCACGGCCGACGGTGCAACTCCTTGAGTCTGCCCCAATCTCGGTGCGGATCCCCCGTTTCCAGACGGAGGGCCTGGTGGACAAGCACGTCGCCTACACTTTGGTCGTTGAGAGCCCATGCCGCGCACACACGGTGCTGCGGCGCTACTCGGAGTTCCAGCAGCTCCACAAGCGCCTCTCTGCGCAGAGCTTTGGCTACTCGCTGGCCCAGCTGCCCTCCTACCGGCTCCTGGCGAACTTCGATGCCCGGTTTCTGGAGAAGAGGCGCCAGAGCCTCGAGGCCTACTTGGCCTTCCTGAGCCTCCACGTGCCCGTGCTCCTGCACGGGGAGCTCTGGTGCTGGCTGGAAGTGACGGACCTGGACCAGGTGCGCACCATTTAACCGCACATTTTACATTAATATTGCTGCCTGCTGTAAGGGTGTGTGTAGGGAGTGTGTTAGACCGCAGGAGGTCTTGACAATTCCTGACATCTTTCGCCTTCTGGCCTTCTAAGCCCAGGTCATGGCGCGGCTCGTGGTGGCGCAGATGGCGCAGCTGAAGCCGGAGATCGCGCAGAGCCTCCGTTTGTTGGACGCCGCCCTTGCTGCCGACGGCACTGGCCGGGTCTCCCTGCACCCCGCCGCGCTGGAGTGCCTCCGTGACATCCTGGGCTCCGGAGCGGCGGAGGAGGAGTCCCTGGTGCTCTGCGCGTGTCGCGTGCTGCAGCACGCGCTGAGCGAGGCGCGGGCCCAGGAGCTCTTCCTGTCCCCGGGCTACGGCGGTGCCCGGAGCCTCATCGCCGCTGCTTCCCGCGAGGGTGCCCCGGACGCCGTCATCGAGGCCGTGGTGGCCGTGCTTGAAGCCTTGCGAAGCAAGGCCGATGAACGGCCTCAGCAAGCTGGGAGGTCCCAAAACGAGGAACTCGAGCTTGGGGAGTGCTGCATCTGCATGGACCGGGGGAAGTCCCACGCCTTCCTACCCTGCGGACACCTCTGCGTCTGCATGGACTGCGCTTCCTTCATCACGGCCATGCGGGGGTCCTGCCCCATCTGCCGGCGGGATGTGCAGGTTGGAGTTCAGATCTTCGTCTGAACTCAGGTGAAGGTGCCCAGGCAAGTCGCGGAAAGCCGACGGCCTCGTCTTCCTGGAGCCTCAAGCCGGTCGACTCAGTCAACTCCGCCTTTCGCCCCGGGGAGTTTCACGTCAGGAAAAGGGCTCCCGATGTGCCCCGACGCGCGCCGAGACGTCCCCAAAAAGTGGTGGCCACCATCTTATGCGAGCGAAATAAGCCCTCAGCCCGTTAGAAACAGCTCTGAGGTGCGGCCACTGCCGAAAATTCGAGCCGCTCTACAAAGAGCTTGCGAAGCCGCGGTCTTAGAGCCATTCCCTGCCTCTTCCGACTGCCGACGCCTAGAGCGCTGTTGGTGTAGCAAGCCTTCCCTGGTAAGAACCCACGGAGCTACTTCGCACCAAAGCACGCAACATAGTTCCGATCTCCAACATAAGGAAGCTGCGGCACGTGAAGTCCCTCAAGATCATGAAGATCGATGCCACCCGCAATGAGGCTCCCCATGCATGAGTGGGGCGGTGTCTCTTTACCCTTCCTTTTGTCAGGAAAAGTGCAGCGGCAATTTATTTTCCTCCTTGTTGCGCGAACTGGCACAGTTGGGTCTTTGCAGCGTCCAGCGCGGCTGTCGTCGTCACTGACTTTAATCTCGTATGGTTAGTTCTCCAGAATATTGTCCCTTTCTCAAGGTACCTTACATCGAATTGATGGGAACTCAGGAAGATGGTACATGTGTCCCCCCTTCCGGGATTGATAGATTGAAGGGAAGGGACGCATGCACAGTGGGGTTCAGGAAGGGGAGCCATGACAGGTGGAGAGCCTGCAGATCATGGGCTTCCCTACCATTCTGCTGTTCCCTGCCGGGGCGTCGCCCAAGCGGCACGTGCGGGACTGAGCCAGGTAGCCAGCAAAAAGACCTTGGTCTAAGGTGTAAGACTTCGGGTGCAACATCGAGCAGTGCTTCAAGCCTATGAAGTGCATTTTCGTTAGGGTGAGCCCCGCCTAGCTCACCACCCGCCCCGCTCTACGAACCCAAGAATCGATCAAGGGGGCGGGCCCTAAACCCTAAAAACCCTAAACCTTAAACCCTAAACCCTAAACCCTAAACCCTGAACCCTGAACCCTGAACCCTAAACCCTACACCCTAAACCCTACACCCAAAACCCTAAACCCAAAACCCTAAACCCTAAACCCGAAGCCCTAAACCCTCCTTGCCAGGCCATGTATCAGGGCTCAAGGCAGCCGGATGACATGATCCAGCGACTCTGACGGCAGTGCTTTTTGAAACCCTAAGCTGGATTCAGGGTTGAGGTTTCGGACCCCTTAAACCCTAAACCCTAAACCCTAAACCCTAAACCCTAAACCCTAAACCCTAAACCCTAAACCCTAAACCCTAAACCCCAAACCCCAAGCCCTGACTGGGTGGGTGAGTGGAGGGGGAGAGTAGGCTTCAGAGCAAGTCGTAAAGCACTGAACGCTTCAACATTGAAACCTCAGAGTTTAGCTTGGAGGGTGTACAGTTTAGGCAAGGAATGTTAAAGTTTAGGGCCGGGTATCGGCTAAGTTAAGACCCCCCCCTCTCTAATGCAAATTTCACATCTGCTTCCACTCCCTGCAAGCCCGGGTTTAGGGTTTTTTTCTTTCGCCAACCCTCAGCCCATATAGCCAACACCCCAAGCCCGAAACGTCCAGGTGGCTTCACCAGGAGTGCTCCATCAAGTTTGACGACAGACCGCCTCCGCCCAAAGCTCCTTTGGCCGAGATCGAGGGCGGTTTTTCGGTTTTTCCATGCCTTGGTCTTGCACGGGCTTGAAGGTTTAGACGGTTTAGGGTCTGGGGTTTAGGGATTTTGGGGACACAGAAGGTTTTGTAACCGAGGGTCCCGCGTAAACTCATCTCCAAGCCCCAATCAAGCTCGGACACCCAGGAGGGTGAGGACCCTGTGGAGAGCGGTCTGCTGGACTGCCTGGGATTGGGTGAGGGCTTGTTTGGTTTAAGGAGGAGGCCGTGGTGAGAGCGTCTGGTGTTAAATGTTCGGTTTCCGTAAGGTCCGGGGGGGGGGGGGGGACGAAGACGTCCCTAAACAGCCCCGAACCCCCGAAACCCATAAAACCAGAAGCCCTGAACCCTTGAGCTCGATCCCATGCGCCCTGGGCCCTTACAGTTGTCCCTGCATCCCAAACCTACAAACCTGAAACCCTATAAGCCCGAAGCCCATAAAACCCTAAGCCCTCAAATCTATAAACCCCTCAAAGCCCTAAACCCCTAAACCCTCAAAGCCCTCATAAACCCCCAAACCCCTCAACCCCTAAACCCTCAACTCTGAACCCTGAACCCTAAACCCTAGGCCCTAAACCTAAACCCTAAGCCCAGAAAGCTTCGCACCCGACCTGTTCGCGAGGATCCGGACGAGGAGGACCTCTGAGCAGAAGCCCAGAGTTCTTGGAAGCTGGACGATGTTTTTCATTCTGTTAATTCCTTCCCCCCTAAACCCTCCCCCCGCCCTACCCCCGTAATGTTAAGTACCGCAATATAATTATGCTGAGGTTGAATAGTAGGGGGAGGGGATTAGGAGGGACTTAGGGGTTTATGGGTTTAGGGGTTTATATGAGGGTCTCGGGGCTTATTTGGTGTTGGTTTGGGGGTTTGGGGCTCAGATTCCCGAAGCTTTGTCGCCCTCGCCCCTAGCCTTAAGCCTTAAGGCATGACTGCCGGAACACCGTAGGTCGAGGCGTGCGCCGGTTCTGCTTTTGGCCGTCTTGCTGCGAAGCAGACAGCCTGTTAGCCGAACGCCAGGTGCGCCGCCGATGTACAACTTCGCTTCTGCGTGCAAAAGAGCGGGCGTTTTCCCCCCCACCCCTAGGCTAGGGCTTAGGGTCCCCGCTCCTCCCCTACTACCCTCGAGACCCCTCAAACCCTCGAACGCTCAAATCATTGAATCCTGGAGCCCCGGCGCCCCGGAGACGGGCAAGGCGAGGCCCTTGGGACCTTTTATGTTTCCCTTTTTGGGTTTACGAGGATCATGTGTAGGAAGATCTTTCAAAAGGTTTGCAGGGCCATCCTAGTGAGGGTTTTCTGTGTCCCGGAGCCTTGCAGCGGAAACAGAGCAGAACCCAGAGCTCAGGCGTCCACGGCTACTTTGCAGGCCTGAACAGCACACAAAAAGCCGACCCAGCCCATGCACGGTACCTCAGCGCATGATGAGCAGCCTCCAGAGCAGCCCAAGACCGCCTGAGACCTCTGAAGCCAGCGATGGCCGAGCGCTGAGATGACAACGGAGGAGGAGGTTGGGGAGGCCTGGTCGGGTTTCAGGGCGTTTAAGGTTTAGCAGCACAGGAGCCTCCAGAATCCCCAAGCAGCCACAGCATGTACCCATGTACCCCCTTCAACCCCGAAGCATCGGAGACCAGCCCCCAAAAACCGGCTCCTCGGAACACCACCGAGTGGCAGGCCGATGAGGAGGGGGCGAAGGCGGTGGAGCAGACGCCCGAGGAGCTACCAAGGGCCCGGGTTGCCCAGCAAGTTTAGGGTTTAGGGTCTAGGGTCTAGGATTTAGGGTTTAGGGTTTAGGGTTTAGGGTGTTGTGAAGATAGAGCTTCTTTGCACTTCATACCCCTTGTCACCAGAGCCCTGCCACCGGTTGGGAGAGCTGAGATCGCTGCCGGCGGCGACGCTGGCTCAAGCGAGAGGAAAAGTGTCAAGGCCCGCACCAGTGCTAAATTTGCACTGGTAGCGGAGCAGCTACCTTTCATAATCCTTGGGACCTTGGGACCTAGTGTGCCCAGTACTGAAGCCATGGCTGCATCGGTGCATGTTGAAAGCCTCCAACTTTGCGAGTGTGGAGGACGGAGACAATGTGACGGAAGGCAAGTTCGGCATTCCCCGCTACAACGGCGACCCCACCAGGTATCAGGAGTACGTCTTCCGGGTCAGGGCTCGAATACGCAAAGAGAAGAAGATTGACGAAAAGGAAGTGGCAAAGCTGGGTCCCTTGGGACTTCGCTTGCTTGAAGGCTTGACTGGGACGGCGTTCCGCGCCGCACAGATGCTGGACATAGAGAAGCTGGAGAGTGCTGAGGGGCCTGAGATCCTCCTCCAGGAGCTGGCCACCACCCTTCAGCCGAAGCGAGAACAGCAAGCGCGCGAGCTCTATGAGGCTGGTGCAATGGTGGGTGGAATGATGAGTCGTCAGCATGGCGAGGGCATGGCGCAGTTCGTGATGCGTCGGAGAGCCTGGTATCGGGCCCTGCTCGACTCATCGAGCGACATGAAACTCCCGGAAGTGGTCTTGGCCGAGCAACTCCTACAGAACGCCAGGATCACTGATGATCAACGACTCATGGTTCGCACTGCCCTCCAAGGGAAGCTAACTTTCGACTCGGTGGCCCAAGAGTTGGTGAACCAACATCCTCGACTACATGAACGTGAACGTTTTCCTTACAAAGGAAAGAAAGGTTTTGGAAAGCACCACGGACGACCGAAGGGATACTTCCACGCCTCGCACGCCTACTGGACGGAGCAGAACGACCAGGACTACTTCTACGATGACGAGTACGCAATGGGCTACCTGGCCGAAGAGTATGCGGAGGACGGCTACGTGGAGGAGAACTACATGGCCGACTACGAAGAGCCGGACGAGTTGGACTTCCAAGCGGACGCCCTGGCTTACATGGCAGAGCAAGGGCTGAGCCTGGAGGACTACGACTCTGCTGAGTATGCGGCCGAGATGATCCAGATTGATGCCGAAGGGTACTTTGCTGGAAAAGGCGGAAAGGCGAAAGGGCTTCCTCGTCTACGAGACCATCGCTTTGAGCTCTCTGGCCACCTCAGGCTGGAAGAGAAGAGACAACGCCTTCAGGAGCTGAAGAATCGGACGACCTGCCGACGCTGTGGGGCGACTGGACACTGGAGCTCGGACAGTGTCTGTCCTAAGAACCGCGGCAAGAGCAAGAGCAAAGGAAAGTTCACCGGATCTGCCCCTACGGCACCCTCATCCTCTTCGACTTCTACCACCACGACAACCCCGAAGGGATCTGGGCGAAATAAGGGGAGCGGCAAGCGGCCGGTCTACTTTGCCATCGCTGAGGACGTTCAACCAGAGCCTGCCGCAATGCTCGCTTTACGACGTGAACCTGGCCGAGACAACCAACCTGTCGGTCAACTTCCTCTTCAGCATCATGGTCACGGTGGACAAGCTGCTTCTCAGGGATGGCTACTTGGACCACCGCCTGTACCTCATCGACATCATGCAGAACAGGGACATGGACACGGGGAAGCAACATCCCAGCCGTCTACGTCGCAATGGAGCATTGTCCAGGCTGAGCAGAGACCTCTGTGGCTGGATGGAAGTCCGGTTGGAGGCGACGGTGATGCCGATGTCGAGATGGATCGACTTCTACGTGAACATGAGCGTGAACATGGGCGGCAAGCGCGAGATGAGAGCTCACGAGTGCAGGAACCTCCAATGCCCCAGACATCACCTTCGACGTCTGCTGCGCCACAACCATCTGTTGCCCCGACGACTGCACGCCCTTCCTGTGCCCACACAGAGACGACTTCCGTCGGCTCGAACCAGTATCAGCGTGTCGTGCGTTGCAAGCGATGTGGCTTGGTGTTGTCCCGCACGAAGAAGGATGTCGGACAGGGAGAGACCACTTCTTCGACTACAGCAGCCGCGACACAGCCACGATGTTCCCATCACAACATTTCGTGGCGTGGATCCAATGGGAGCCGCTGGAAAAGCACTTGTCTGGATTGCGGACACCAAGAATCCGGAGATCGCGAGACACCAGCTGGACATGGGACAGAACCTCATTGTGATTCGCAGACGGTGGTCGAGGAGGAGAGTTACTACCTCGACAGAGAGACCGCGCTCCAGATCCTTCAGGACTTCCACAATGTTGCGTCTGCTAGGCTCAGAGGACTTGAAGAAGGGCAACAGGTTCCGAGTAGCAGCTTTATGCGAGCTCTTCGACATGTCATTGCACTACATGCATGCTGGAGCGACCGAGGCGCGTCCTCTGCAACGGCGAGCACGATGGTGGCACAGGCTGCTGCCTCGACTACGACCACGCCGCAACATGATCGCCGGAGACGCATTGCCATTGAAGGCGCCAAGGTCATCCCCTGCGGTAAGTACAAGGGCAAGACTCGAGAGTGCGCTTATCAGGATGCCGGGTATCGCCGCTGGGTGCTTGACAAGATCACCCCAGAATCCCCTCCTGACATGAATGCCCTACGTGCTTACTTTGAAGAGCGCTTGGACGCTGATCCCGGCCTGTTTCCTCAAGCGTACATGGTCCTTTCGCAGGAACCTACTGGAGGAGAAGGAGACCTCATCGCCATTTTGGATACAGGATGCTCGCAGTCCTGTCACGGTGAGCTGTGGCTGCAACGATATGTGCAAGCCACCGGCCAATGCTTGCCAGCACTCGAGACCGATGTGGGCCCTTCCTTCCATGGCATTGGAGGGGCAGTGCAAACGGCCGGCATGCGAACAATTCCGTTGGTGCTGGAGATGATCAATGGACAGTATGCCCAAGGCACCTTGCGCTCAGCAGAACTCCGAGGAAGTCATGCGCCACTGCTGCTCTCACTGGCAGCCCAACGACATCTTGGTCTTGTCTTGGATGTCTGTGCCGAGACAGCCCACAGTCAAACTCTTGGGTGCGATCTTCAATTGGTCATGAAGGACGGGCTGTTTGGACTTCGCCTCCTACCTGCTCATCTTGGACTTCTGGCCGAGAATCCCGCACTGGAGGAGACGAGCGTAGAGAACATCACTAAGAATGAGACCGAGTTCCTCGCGACGGATGTGAAGATGGACGAAAGACCACGCGATGATGCATTGCATCATCCTACCGACGATGCACTGCATCGACCACGCGATGATGCATTGCATCATCCTACCGATGATGCACTGCATCCTCCTACGATGAGCTGCGATGAGAGGGAGCCTGATGAGGATGAGTCAGCCGCTGTTGGGTACATGGCGTATGACCACATGAAGGGACGGACCATGACGCGATCGCAGGGGAACTCCTGGAAGAGCACGTGCATGACATGCACAACTCTGACCAGTGCCTGTGGAGTCAGATTTCCACTCAGAGGAGAAGACGGTCGCTGTTGCCACGCGGATGTCGTACATTCCTCTTGGAGATCTTTGCGGGAGCGGCCTTGCTGAGTGATATCTGCGCGCGTGAATATGGTCACCCTATCAGTGCTCCTGTGGACCTCAATGTCGGCATCGACTTGCTCACACCGGAAGGGCGAGCGCACGTGGACTCCGTGATCGAGAGAGACGACCCCTATGCCATTAGCATTGCGCCACTTTGCTCTCCTTGGTGCGCTTACTCAAAGCTCAACACATCCAAAGGGGGACGAACCTGCAAGCGCATCCAAGATGAACGCAAGCGATGGCGACCAGTTCTCTCGTGGATCGCGAAGATGGTCAAGCAACGCCTAAGCCGTGGTCGCCAGATTCTGGTTGAGAATCCCTGGGGAAGTGCTATGTGGGATGAGTGGGACTTTCAGGACTTGATCGTCAATGACCACCACGATGCTCTCACTGGAGAACTACTGGAAGCCACAAAATGTGATCAATGCATGCAAGGACTGCGTTCCACGACTTCTGGACTTCCCCACATGAAGCCCACTTGCTTCCTCAGTGCCTCCACAACCTTGAAGCACACCCTGGATGTACGCTGCGACGGTCAACATGAACATGAGCAACTCACCTCAGGGAAGGCGTGCAAGGAAGCGCAACAATGGCCAAGAAAACTGTGCCACACTATCCTTGATGGATGGTGCAAGGACTTGGACAACACGCTGTGTCGGTCTGCGTTCCCTGCAGAAGCGGCACGGGAAGATGCCGACCAAGCCGAGTTTGTGATTGACGATGATGAGGATGGCATGCACCGTACGTTGGACCACATCTACGGCCCTGAAGATGAGGCGGCGATCACCGCTGGACCACTAGGACGATCTGAAGCTGCTGAAGTTGCTGCGCGAGAAGGAGAAGCAATTCATGAGGAAACAGAAAGCTTGGAGTCCGAGTCCATGCGGGAGAGAAGAAAGAAATGGAGAGAGCTTCCCTACGCGATGCGTGTCGCTTTGAGGAGGCTCCATGGCATGACTGGACACGCATCTCCGGCATCTATGCAACGACTTCTTCGTACTGCTGGTGCGGATGCCGCCGCGATCCCCGCACAATGCAGTACTTTCAGTGTCCTGTTTGCGACAGTCTGAAAAGGCCTATGCAAAGACCCGCCACCAAGGTGCCTGGACCTTACGTCTTCAACGTGGAGGTAAGCGTGGATGTCTTTGTGATCCGCGATGTGGAGGGGAACAAATTCTTGATCCTTTCCATTGTTGACCTCGGCACGCTCTTTCACGTTGGCGTCGTGGTTGGAACTGGAGCTGGAAGCCCATCCTCTTCAAATTGCGCAAAGGCTTTTGACACCGCCTGGATGTCCTGGGCAGGCGCTCCTGACCGGGTTGTTCTGGACAGGGGGACGCACAACCGCGGGGTCTTCCAGGAGATGCTGAGATCCCGAGGAGTGGAACTTCGATATACCGGCCTGGAGGCCGGCCATCATCTAGGACGTGGAGAACGGCAAGGTGGGCTGATGAAGTCGATGATGAAACACATCATTCATGAACGGCAACTCCGAGGACGACAGTCTATTGAGTTCGTGGTGTCAGAAACGGCTGAGGTCAAGAACTCCAGACTGCATGTTGGAGGTTTTGCTCCGGCTCAATGGGTGCTTGGACGACTACCAAAGGACTTGGACAGCCTCACAACCCTCGGAGCAGAACATCGGCTTGGAACTCACCAGGAGATCTTGGATGGGACTTCGTCGTTTGCACACCGTATGGAGATCCGGATGGCAGCGAAGCAAGCATTTACGTTCCACGATTCGGCTCAACGTCTTCGCGCATCTATGCTTCGAAAGGCCACGCCCACACGTGGACCCTTCGTGACTGGAGACCTCGTCTGCTTCCACCGCAAGCAAGGAGCAAGAGTTGGACAGCGCTGGTTTGGGCCTGCTCGTGTAGTCGGTCAAGAAGGGCGATCCAAGCTATGGGTGAGCCATGGAGGAATACCCATGACCGTGGCCGTGGAAGCATGTCGACACGCTAGTGGACCTGAGATACTGGCGAAGCGGGAGTTGGAACTGCGCCCAAGCAGGAAGAGACGCCGTGAAGTTATCGAAGATGATGACGAGACCTATGAGTACCCTTTTGGCGATGACTTGGCCGGTGTCCCAGGACGTCATGAAGATGGAGAAGGCCTTGGAGAAGATGAACAAATGCGCTATTTTGACACCACGGACATTGCCGACGGGGGACTCTCACCCAGTCCCTATTCACCATCACCTGCAGGAGAAGCTGCCGCAGGACCTATTCCTTCTCCGCTATCACCAGCTGACGAAGGACCTGGCGTTGCGGACCTGCCACCGATCCCTGAGGACTTACTTGAGACCGATGAGGGAGAGAGGACGCCTACGCCCACAGTTGGTTCGACCTTCGAGCCTGAACAAGAACAAATTCCTGTGAGCAGACAAGGAACAAGTGAAGTGATGTCCCCTACACCGCTTCCACCAGGACTTCACGGAAATCTCAGAGCAGCTCTTCATAGGTCGCCAGATCTGCTCGATGGACATCGTGCTGCTGAACCACGTAATGAGCCATCGACAACTCGCAGAGATCGCTCGAGATCCCCACCTACTCGGTCATCCTCTGCGGTGATCCCGAACCAAAGCACGTTGGTTGAGCTTCCTCGAGCCCCTGGGCAAGATCGGGCGTTTCTGGCGTTCCTTGCTCGCCGGAAGACCGCCATGGCACGAAGCAAAGAATACAGTTTGGACAAATTGGAGGCCGAAGAGCGTGTGAAAATGGAAGCTGCTCAAGAGAAGGAATGGGGCAACTGGCGAAACTTTGAGGCTGTCAAGGTGCTGGATCCGACGAAGGCTGCAGAGTTTCTTCGAGAACATCCTGGAACACAGATTGTCCCGACCAGATGGGTGCTGACAAACAAGGCTCAGCCCTGGGAAGATGCCCGCTACAAGGCTCGCATTGTGGTGCGGGGTGACCTGGAGCGGGGCGCTGCTGAGACTCGTACAGATTCACCGACGGCATCCTCGACAATGGTCAACATGTTGCTAGCTTATGCGGCCAGCAACAAGCTTCCTTTGAGAGGAGGAGACATCGCCGCTTCCTTCTTGCAAGGCGAGAAGATATCACGGAAGCTCATCCTGAAACCACCTCCTGGCGGCCTACCAGGAGTGGAAGATGGCAGTCTGCTTTTGGCTGAGAAGCCAGTCTACGGAACGCGTGACGCCCCTCGAGGTTTCTGGAAACGCTTGCACTCCGTGATCCTCTCGAAGGGCCTAAGGAAGATCCCTGGCGAGAACTCCGCGTGTGTGCTCAATGACTCGAACAATAACATCATCGGGATGCTCATCTGCCACGTCGATGACCTCCTATGGGCCGGAGGAGAACGTATGGATGAGGTGATGAACCAGATACAGTTGGCCTTCGAGTTCGGGTCATTGGAACTCGACAACAGCTTCGTCTACTGTGGACGCAACATTGAGCAGAGCACTGAAGGCATCAAGGTGACCTGCCCCAACACTGCAGCAAAGGTGAGGCCCATTGTGCTAACCAGAGAAAGACGTCGTGAACGTGATGCCGCAGCCACCGACAACGAGAACGGGCAACTCAGGAGTGTCTTGGGGAGTCTAGGCTGGGTGACACGTGTGTGTCGTCCAGATATTGGCTACCAGGTCAACCATCTCCAGAGCATCCAAAAGAATGCCGTCGTGAGCGACCTGATTGCCTGCAACAACCTTCTGAACTACGTCAAGGAGACTCCTCAGCATGGCCTCTTCTACCGCTACAACGCGGTTGACTTCAATGAGGCCGCCATCCTCTCCATCACCGACGCTTCCTATGGTGCAGACTATGATGTGGACGAGCACTATGGTGTGCCTCTCGGGAATCGTTCCCAGTCCGGAAGGATCCTAGCTCTTGGAAACAATGACTTCGCTTCGACCGGAACAGGCGACATCTACATGATCGAATGGCACAGCAATGTGCTGAAGAGAGTGTGCCGCAGCACACTACAGGCTGAAACCCTTAGCCTCGTTCAGGGCTATGAGGAGGCTGAACATGTTCGGGTGCTGATGCATGGGCTCTACCACGAGAAGACGGGCTCTACCAACGACTTCATGATCGGCGCGATGGATGGACGACGCTTGGAGATGTTCACCGATTGCAGAAGCTTAGAAAGCCACCTGAAGCAGCCGGGACTTTCCACGGTTGCCGATAAGCGCCTGGCTATTGACCTCAGTGCCATGCGCCAGCTGGTGTGGCGAGACTCCGGAGAGCTAGTTGGAGATCCTGTTTACCAAGATGCTCCTCCGCAAGCTTCCACAACCCGCGTGAGCTGGATAGAGACCAAGACGATGGTTGCCGACAGTCTGACCAAGCACATGAAGTGTGAGCAGCTCTTGGCCTTGATGCACGAAGGCAAGGTCACTTTCGACATGAACAAAGAACATTCGAAGAAGGCATCAATGAAGCAAGACAAGCAAGATCGTCAAGCATCAATGAGTGGCTGACGTAGCGATGTGAAACCTTATGTGAGCTCTTGCCATGCTAGCTCACGGTTTCCTGCGAAGAAAGCTCTTGGGTGTGAAGATAGAGCTTCTTTGCACTTCATACCCCTTGTCACCAGAGCCCTGCCACCGGTTGGGAGAGCTGAGATCGCTGCCGGCGGCGACGCTGGCTCAAGCGAGAGGAAAAGTGTCAAGGCCCGCACCAGTGCTAAATTTGCAGGTGTTGTTTCAGCATGTTCTCTGCAGGCCTTGAACATATACTTGGGGGCGTCTTGGGTGCAGCAGTATAAGATGACAGTAGATGATGAATGATAAACGATACATTAAGGATGAATGACGAATGGCGAATGATGAATGATGGTGATGATGATCACTAGACTTTAGGGTGTTCGGGTGGTGGAGCTTCGGGGTTTCGGACGCAGATCCTCCTTGTAGCACATGCCGAGCCCCACTTCCTCCGGCAAAGGTAGGCCAACTTGACTGCGCCGTAGGGATTCTATGGGCACTCCATGGATTCTCTGCAGGAACCCGCTAAAGGCATTGCAGTCCCAGCTTAATGAGTCCTGTGCTGGAATCAAGTTGCAGAATCAAGAGAAAAAGCGTGCAATTGCGAGCAACAAGGCCCCACACCAGACACTATCGCCCCCCCCCCCCCCCAAGTCCCAAGTCCTATGCACCTATGCCTAAACCTCTAAACCCCAAGCCGTATATCCCCTAAACCCGAAACCCTAAACCCTAAACCCTAAACCCGAAACCCGAAACCTGAAACTCTATACCCTAAACCCTAAACTCCCCCAAGGTGCCATGCCACATCTTCCTCCCCGTCGTGCCGGCGGCCCGCGTCATCGGAAAGCGTGGGGCCAACATCAAGGAGATCCGCGACAAGAGCCGGGGGCCTCGTGGGGGTAGGAGTTGGGGTTGAGGGTTTCCCTGCTTTAGGAATCGTTATCGCAAACAGTCATCATCATGTCAGTCTATGACGTTGCCTCCCTGCTTTGCACCCTGTGATCTCCATTTGACCATGTTTGGCTTTCGGTTTCTGCCATGATGCTGCCGGCTCCATTGCTTGTTTTGGATCTCTTCCCTTCGTTCGATTCTAAGGCGTACGAACCATGACTACAGCAAGAGTTGTGATGATGAAAGCGGATGTTTCCAGCCTGCTCACCCAAGGCGGGGCTATGGTGAAGATCCTGCAGAAGGACCGTTATTGCCCGAGCGACTGCGCTCCCTGGAACTCTTCCCCAAGAGCCTTTGGGGCGGGACATGTCCGACAGGTACAGGAATGCAATCCTGCCCCTTCTTAGCTCTAAACCCTAAAGCGCTAAATTCGCAAAATCCTAAACCCGACCTCCCCAAAAAGCCCAAGATGCCAGGAGCTTCCCCAGGAGATGCAGCGCCGGGAAGACCGTGTGGCGGCAATTACCGGAGAGCCTGCCGCGGTCAGGGAGGCGCCCCGGGGGCGTGTTTAGGCGGTTTAGGGTCCCAGGATGCCCAGGATTAAGGGGGCAAAAAGAGGGACCCCCTAGGAGGGGGCCCTTTCATCTTCTTCCCCTATATAGACATATAGACCTTATACAGTCCCTAGATACCTAAGGTAGCCCCCAAATAACCCCTCGTCCCTGATAAGGGTCCCTCCTTGAGTGCCTTGATAGGATTTCCAGGACTTAAAATTTAGGGCAGCGTGACTTCGAAGCCCGGAAGCTGCCTCGGCCAATCCAGCCCCAGGAACCCCTAGACCCTGAACCCTGAACCCTGAACCCTGAACCCTGAACCCTGAACCCTAAACCCTAAACCCTAAACCCTAAACCCTAAACCCTAAACCCTAAACCCTAAGCAGCAACTCCCCGCAGGCCATCTCGGGAGTGTTGGAGCGAGTCTTCGACCGCTCGGGACTCCCGGACACCGCCAGGAACTTGGTGTTTTGGTTGTTTTCGGGTCTGGCTTCGGGTTGGGTTGAGGGTTGGGGGTTTAGGACTTAGGAGCTTGGAGGGTTTAGGGTTTAGGGTTTAGGGTTTAGGTTGGTAAACCCGAAACCCTAAACCCTAAACTTAGTGAGGGGTCGCTTCCGTCGAGCGACAGACCCCGAACGGCTTGGCCGAGGGCTCACAGCCCGAGCGCCCATACGAAAAGAGCGGGCCGCGGAGAGGTGAGGGTAAAGCCTCACCGGCTTGTCCTGTACAGGCCAACGACCCTGGCCTTGCTGGCCTAAGGGATGGCCGTATCCAGACCACCTTTGGTGTTAACTAAAGTAGAACCCCAAACCTCGGGCCGTTGGGGTGGTTTAGGGTTTCGGAGGGCTTGCCGCGCCCCCCCCCCCGGGGGCCCCCTGCCCCTGGTGGCTGGATTCCTGGACCAGGGGGCCGTCGAGGGGGTCCAGGCAGGCTGGTTGCTCAATTTCGTGATTTTTGGGAGAAACGGTGGGGCGCTGGGGCCGTTGGGGCTGCCGGCCCCCCCCCCGCCCGGGGGGCCCCTGCCCCTGGTGGCTGGATTCCTGGACCAGGGGGCCGTCGAGGGGGTCCAGGCAGGCTGGTTGCTCAATTTCGTGATTTTTGGGTGGCCTGTCAAGGGTGCGGGCCTCGGGGGGCCCCCTGCCCCTGGTGGATTCCTGGACCAGGGGGCCGTAGAAGCCTCGGCCCGAGCAGGGTCGAGGTTACCACCAGGCGTTTTTCGAACCTCAATGGATGCTCGGGCGATGATTTAGTGTTCAGGGCAAGAATCCTCGGCCCGAGCAGGGTCGAGGTTACCACCAAGCGTTTTTCGAACCTCAATACATGCTTTCGAGCCTCAAGTGGGCTGGGCGATGACGACTTGAAATGCGTCTTGGGTTGAGGTGAAAGCCCCCCTTGAGGGGGGTTGGGGGGGTGAACCCTAAACCCTAATTGAGAATAGTTTGGGTGGCCGGGGCGGGTGTACGGGCAACGCGAGCGCGCGGCCCGGGGTGCTTCACACCCGAGCGCGCGACCTCGCATGCACACCCTAAACCCTAAACCCTAAACCCTAAACCCTAAACCCTAAACCCCAAACTGGCCCCGAACCCTAAACCCTAACAAAACCCCAAACCTTTCGATGGCTCCGCACTCTTCATTCCTCTGAGGCAGATGCCTCCGTCCGGGATCGTGGCTACATTGTAGAGGCGCGATCTACATGCTTAGGGTTTAGGGTTTGGGGTTTAGGGTTTAGGGTTTAGGGTTTAGGGTTTAGGGTTGGTCCCCTTTGGACCCCTGAGCCTTGGGATGTTCCCCCTTTTGCTAACAGGGATTATACTACCCCCCTGTTACAATTCCTATGAAGGACTGTTAGTACAAGGGGGAACATCCCAACCTAAACCCTCAGCCCCAAAACCTCCCAACGGCTTCCACGTCCACTCTGCAAGCCGAAACACCTGAATCCCAAACCCTAGAGACCCCAAGCCCCAGAACCCTAACCCTAAACCCCAAACCCCAAACCCCAAACCCCAAACCATAAACCCTAAACCCTAAACCTAAACCCTAAACCCTAAACCCGACTAACTACTGCCAGGTTCTTGTGCCGGAGAAGTGCGGCTCGCACCTGATCGGCCAGAAGGGCGAGCGGGTGAAGACCCTCTGCCAGGTGCTCGAGGGTTGTTGAAGGCTTAAGGTCCCAAACCCTAAACCCTAAACCCTAAACCCTAAACCCTAAACCCTAAACCCTAAACCCTAAACCCTAAACCCTAAACCCTAAACCCTAAACCCTAAACCCTAAACCCTAAACCCTAAACCCTAAATCCTGAACCCTAGGGTTGATAGTTGATTGGGTTAGGGTTGGAGAGTGGGGGTTTTCTGAGTTTGAGGGTTTTCGGGCTTTAGGGGGTTCATACTTTCAGGTATTGGAGCTCAGGGTGTGGGAGTTGGGTGATAACTTGAACCATGCAAGGCATCAAAGCCCCATGAATCCTGACCGATAAGCTGTGCAAAGCCCTAAGCCCTAAACCCTGAACCTTCAGCGACAACAGCGGCAAGAGGTGACAAACCCTGCCCACAACTTTCGTCCAAAACTTTCGCCCCCTTGTTTCGATATCCCGATTTAAAGACCTTTGGTCCAAACCCCAGGCAGTTTCAGCAAACCCTACAACGTCAACCCTAAGTTCCTACATTGGGGTCCCCTTTGGGCCCTTCAAGGGTGCCATATTATATCGGGGACCCCCCCAAAAATGTAAAATGGGACCCTATTGTAGAAAACTCTCCGAACCCCTAAGAACTTAAACACAACAATGGACCCCTAATATAGCCCCCCCAAATACTAGGATTCCTTTATCTACAAGGACCCCAAAAGGTACCCTAATTCGGAAACCCTAAACCCTAAAACCTAAACCCTCAACCCTAACACCTAAACCCCAAACCCAAAACCCTAAACCCAAGAAACCTAGAAACCTAGAACCCTAGAACCCTAGAACCCTAAATAAACCCTAAACCCTAAACCCTAAACCCTAAAACTGCTTGCGAACTGATCAGCTCCGCGCCCGACAGGAGACGAAGTGCGATATGCGGGTCGGCCAGGACTTCGCACTTCAGATGCGCGCCGACAGTCGCAGTAGGTCATTTAGGTTTCGGAGGGTTCGGGTTACAGGGTTTAGGGCTAGAGGGTTTCAGGTTCTAGGGTTCCAGGATTTTGGGTTGCGGTATGGGCGTTCAGGGTGGGTTTGAGGGTTTAGGGCCCTTCTTGCCGGGGGCTGCTTCTCCAGGACGCCGTCTGCGGCCTGGAGCAGAAAAAGGCGGGCGAGCTCTCTCTTTTTGGGAAGAGCCGCCGAGTCAGAGTTGACCTTTACTCATGGAGTCCCAGAAATATCTTAGTAAGATCGACTGGGGCTTCGGGTCTTAGGGTTTAGGGTTTTTGGCTTAGAGTTATAGGGTTGTAGGGTTATACTAGAGATGAGGATTTAGGTTATGTAGGGTTGTAGGCTTATAGTTTCGGGTGTTTGGGTTTTCAGGTTACAGGGTTATCGGATTATAGGTTTTGGGCTTTAGGGTTATAGGGTTTTGGGTTTGGGCTGTGGGGAAGGGGGAGTATCCCGGCAGTTGCAGCAGGTTCGCATCAGTGCCAACAACATCCAGGAAGCCTCCGCAGCAGTGTGGAGGCATCATGTTGGGACTTCAATGTAAGCTACCCTAAACCCTAAACCCTAATATCAACCGACTTGATCCAAGTTATTGAGATGCACCCCTGCTGTCAGACGTGACACGGCTGAGCTACAGCCAATACATGCCCAATACAAGCAAGATTTCAAGCATTTGAAGCTTCCATTTTTCGAGACGCAAGAAGTGGCTGCAGACCGATGTGCATAACGTGTCCGTTGAGCACATTCAATGCTTCCTTTCAGCTCACTTTAATTCGAACTCACATTAGTCGATCCTGCAGAGGCATTCTCCGGACCTGCAGCATGTAGACCTGCATGTGTCTGATCCGAGCGGATGAATCAACGTTCCGTAATGTTGTGGTATCCGCCTTTTGATTGCGCAAGCAGCTGAGGCGGAGTTGGGAGTTGGCGAGTGTACGCTCTCGAGCCATAGACATAGACTCTGGAGCGTTTGCTCCTGCGCCTCCCTGTAGAACAGAGACTTGTCACCCGGCCCGGGAAAATGGCTCCACCCATGGAAGGAGCCCAGCCTTCTACATCAGGACCATCGGATTAAGGCCAACCCTAAACCCTAAAACCCCAAAACCCCAAAACCCCAAAACCCAAAAACCCTAAAACCCTAAAACCCTGAAACCCTAAAACCCTAAAACCCTAAGCCCTAAAACCCTAAAACCCCAAAACCCCAAAACCCCAAAACCCAAAAACCCTAAAACCCTAAAACCCTGAAACCCTAAAACCCTAAAACCCTAAGCCCTAAAACCCTAAAACCCTAAAACCCTAAACCCCGCTCAGACCGCGCGTCGTGCCGCGCATTTATTTGGGCGGGGCTTGCGACAACGGGCTAAACCCTAAACCCTAAGGCGCGGCGGGGGTCTCATGAGGTTCTGGGCGCAGTCATCCGAAGCCCCCCAGCAAGCGCCCTTTGCCTGCGCCTTTGCCAGGCTTCTCGAGGTCTTGGGAGAGCTGGTCGCAGGTCGTCTCTTGTGGTAAGAGGGGATGGAGGGTTTAGGGTTTAGGGTACGGGGGGACAACCAAGGAAGGAAACCAACTCCCCTAATCGCCCTGAACTTATATTTCCCAGATCGAACCAAGAAACAAACAAGAACACGGATAAGAGCAACCCAGGGGGGAAGGAAAGGGGGAAGGAATCCACACCCTTACCAAACCCTAAGAACCCAGGCGCTACTTTTTGAACTTGTGGCTTTCTGTTCAAGCCCATCTTGAGCCAAACATGATTTCCGGGTTCATTAACCCTTCCAACTCTCAACACTAACTCTTTTCTACAATACCAATTGCAGCTCCGCACTCCCCCTGTCCTAGGATTTCCTAGGACACATTGGAGATGCAGATCTGTTGGCCAAAAACTGCCAATAAGGCAGCAGCCAGCTGCTTGAAATGCATGTTATGGTTTAACGTCTTCCAGGACGGAATTATAGCACATTGGCTAACCTACTACCCACAGAGAATCTCTTTTCACCATGATCCTCTCATCACTGAAGACTCCTTGGCCTTCTTCACCACAAACCGTGGTCTTCGCTACGCGAAAAGCTACTGACTTCTACTATCAGGGATTTCCATACCCTTAATAGTAACCACCACATTGTCAGCACATTGGCTGTTCCAGCGCACCTGTCTCCAGAAAGAGAAAAACCATCCCTTCATCCATACCATCCAATCACTTCTTTTTCCGATTGTTGGCAATCTTGAGGTGAAGTTGCAGCAGAATATACTCCAGGTCCGAAACTGTAAGAACAGGATCCTGTACGCCCCTTTGAATTGAGGATACCAATCCTTCTCTCTTTGCGTCCTCAATCGCCTGGCAAGATTGACCCAGCTCTGCATTCGCAGTGGCAGACCCTGGTGCATCCGCATCAGATGGACGATCCTTTTCCTCAGGATCTTGCACCATTACCACCTCTTCTTTTTTGGGACTCTGACTTTTCTCCTTCTTCTTTGTCTTTCCTCCGACATTTGACTTTGTGCGCGTCTTCGAGGATTTTTCCACTGCAGAAGCCACCACATTGGATGTTGATCCACCCTTCTCAATGATCGCCGGCATCTTCTTCGGCTTTGGAACCATGAGAGTGTAAGGATCTTCGATAGCTGCAGCTTTCCTCTTCTTTTTTACCTTTTTCTTCTCCTCCTCAACGGCAACCTCCGTCTCCGAAGTCTCAACCACTTCTTTTTCGGCAGGAATATCCTTGCTGGACTCCCTTTCTAGGGACCTCTTTTTGCCTCTTTTGGAATCCTTTTCTTCTCCCAAATTGGCTCGCTCGTACCATATCCTCAGGTCATTGACCCATTCTTCCACCTCCGTGAGCGAAACCTCATAAAACTTCACAACTTCGAGAAGTTCCAGCACGGTCAACATACCAGTGGTCCACGAAACCCATACCTGATCCATTTGGTCAGTATCTCCAGTGAACTTCAGGAGTTTGAACAATGGGTCCGCCTCTGCTCGAGCCAAATCTGGCTTGCCATTGGACAGAAATGAAATCGCCTCCATCAACAGTTCCGTCATCTTGGTCTCTTCGTCATAAACCATAAAATCCTCCTCATCACCATCGAACTGTTCAGGAGAGATCTCCTTTTCTCCACCATGTGCACCAGACTTTCTCCTTGGACCATCCCTTGGGGGCGTCCTTGGAGACCTTGGCCTCTGTTCATCCAGCGGAACACCATGCTCGAAGACACACCTGTCACCAAACCGACACTTCCCAGACCGAGCAAACTGGATGCACCTCACACCAGTTGCATCATGCGAGAACTCACAATCCTTTCCAGCGAAACATTCTCTCCCTGCCACATAGTATTTGCACCAATATGAATGTAGCACCACATCATCTTCGGAATGGATGAATTTGCAGTCGTCACCAAATTTGCAGCGATCTTTCCCCTTGCCGAACCAATAGCAGAAGCCCTTCTTCCTCTTCTCCAAGCGCTCTGCCTCATACCGGTCCATAGGGCGATTGTGCTCTACATGAACATTGCCATGTACCTGGGGACTGCTCCCTTCACCCGACGTGCTATCAGTATTTGGTGCTTGGAGTACAGCTGGAAAACCTGGCCTTGGTCCTACCACCTTCATGATTGGTTTTCCGCCAACTCCTGAGCCATGCTGAGACGATCCAAAAACATTGAACATCTTCGTGAAGGCCTTTCTAGTGCCAATCTTCTGCACCCTTTTGATTGGACGTTTCATTGCTCCAACCTTGCATCCAGATGCGTTCAAACGACACAACCTCCTATACCCAGCTCTATATCCCTTCTTCCAAAGAGCCATAAGAATTTTAGAGGCAGTAACATTCTCCACCTCTACCTTTTCCAATGGTCCCTCACTTCCCGGAACAAACCCATCCATATCTGAAGACCTTTCCATCTTTTTTGACACCACTTCGTCGAGGTAGTCTTCCGAGATCCAGGGTAAGTTCCTCTTAGAGGAAGGATTGTCATCATTGTTTGGTCCTTCACCAGGATACCCTTTTGTGCTGTCAAAGATCTTACCAGTAGTGCGGTCCTGCATAGAGAAATTCGAAGCCACGCGGGAGTACACTGACCACAAGAAAATCCTTGTGTCCGCCAGTCTTGATGACCCACTGGATGTCTCTTCTTCCGGAGAAACTTCTGGCGCTTTGCCATCCCCTCCAGTGTCACCATTTGTCTCACCTCCAGCATCTTCAATGGGAATAAGGGATTCATTGTTCCCTTGATCAAGCACCGCATCCTCTGGTCCAAGAACTTCCAGCACCGCTGTCGAAGGATCCACCTCTTCATCAGCATCGTCGTCCATCCTTTTCCAGAGAGCCTCCAATTGGTCCGCACAAGTCGCCGCTTGAAGGAACTCCATCAACCGGGCCCTCCCGCGCTGCCAGAGAAATTCCGAAACCATCACCGACCCTTGGGCTCCAAGATTCAGGAACGGGTGAACCATTTTGGCTACCCTCGCCATAAGTTCAATGTGAACTTCCATGCCTGGACTGCGACTCCAATCATAGGCAATTGCCTCCATAGCAGTTCCAAACTTGTCAGTATTCTTGAATTCCCCTTCCAGACCAGGAGACAACAAGGCACCCATCACCGAAAGAGGGTAATTTCCCACCGCCGGCAAGCACGGGTTGTCATGGAACGAATGATGCAGGTCACTGTAATGTCCTTGATCTCTCCTTTGAAAAAGGAGTGCTCCAGTCCCTAGCTGGGCATTCATTTCATCCACTTGAACCATTTCAGCACATATCCTCTGTGCCATATACGCCATTGCTGGCCAGACGGAACGATCGGTAAGACCGCGACGCATAACCCAATCAGTTGTCGGCGACTGAATCAGCGTCCTTGGATCATACACCAGAACTACCATCGCACCGTCACCCATTGACTGATCAGCGTCGTCCTCCAGTGCCAGGTTCTCATCCTGTTCGCTTGCACCCTCGGATGACATGCTAATAACCAGATTTCGATCCATCTTATTGGACCCTTTTTGGCAGTCTCTTTGCCCCACAGGCAACTTGCCAACAGCAACCTTCCAATAAATCCGAGTCAGAAGGCCTTTAACCAGCAATTGCTGAAGGTCATTCCTCACCGGACAAACATCCAATATCTTCGCACCATCACCACGGAGTTCATTGCTCCCACCTTCTCCTTCTTTTTGGTCAGTCTCCTCGCCAGAAATCTGTACTGCTCCTTCCGGCGCCGTCTCCTGTCCAGCCACTTCTTGCCCAGGAAGAACTTGAGCGCTTTCAGATACATTCACCTGTCCAGCAACACCTTGCCCAGGTAAAACCTCATCCGTGGAGCCCACCGCCAGCGAACCAACCATAACTGAACCATCCCTTGCTCTTTTTTGAGACCGTTCAGCTCGACGAGAAGGTTGTGGTAGCGAAAAAACTTGTGAAGTCACTTCTTGGCGGGTCTCCCCCCGCGACGCTTTGTCGCGCCCTTCGCCAAGGTGAACCGATTTTTTCGGCCCGTCATTGGAGCCTGAAGAACCACTTTGCGGAACATTGCCACGATTCGCAGTTCTCTGTGAATCCCTTTCTTGCAAAAAGATTTCCTTCAGGCGTTGTACGGCATTGGTCTCCTCTTCGCTTGAATCGCTTGAGGAAGCGGCATACGAGACCAAAGCCTCCGCCTGTTCATCATCATCCACCACATCTGCCCACGCTCTGCTGAACCGATACGACAACCCACCACGAGGCTTCAGTTCCAGTGGCT